AATAAGTACAATTATTTCTTAATTTTGGAATCTCAGGACACCCTTCAAAAAGAATTTATTGCCTTTGAAACTAAGGCAGAAGTACAATGCATTGAAACCAATGATGCCAATACGGTCCCCCACATATTTCCCTCGGTATAAACCCTGTAGCCTAAACCTCCCAGCACATTACAATGTAGCCTCTAAGGGCCGGTCTGCTGGTCATTATCAGGTTATTTTTGATACAGACCAGTTGATTTTTTCACTGGGTATAGGAGAATAACATTGCAACTGGTCCGTAATTCCATTTTGACCAGCAGGTTTCAGATCCTTAGGGCCTAAGACATAACCAATTTTTATTACATGCACATGGAAGAAATTTGAAAATAGAAAAATAAATTTTAATTCATTTTAGATTAATGAAAGTGATGAAACCTTGATTTAGGTAATCACATTTTGTTCATTGTGATGCAGCTATCATAATCCATTCATTTTCTGTTGTTTGCTACTCTGTGGAGTACAATTGGGAATTGAAACAATTGTAGAAGTGGAGACTAAGAGTGGCTCTTTGTAAAGAAATTGAACCAATTTGTTACTTTTCCAAAATAAAATGTAGATGATCTAAAAACAATGATCCCAAAAATGCAAAAGAAAGGACAAATCTGAAAAACATACTAGTAATAAAATAACTAAAAAGATCCCAGATGTTCAGTGAAAAGCGCAAAGTAAATCATAGATGAAGATAAAATAAAATAAGTGTTTTAAGGGACTATACTAACATAAAGATAACTCCTTATTGATATAGTGTATGGTCAGTAAAAGTTAAAGCTAGTTTAAATAGATTTAGCTTTTTTTCCACAAACTATAAAACATCATTTTGAAAGAGATTTCAATAGTATACAGACAGTGATTGCCTTTGAGCGATGTAGTGCAAAATATGACAGTTACTATTTGTTTTGATTACTATATCTAGTATATAACCTATTATTATGTACTCTATTTGAAGAAACAAATAAGTAGTCCTTCATTTTCAACATTTAATGATGACAGCTTCGTATATGCATTTCTATTGCATTTGGCCATTCAAACCCCTATAAGACCTGGTAGCAGGGAAGATAAAGGATACTTTTGACTGCTCACATGATCTAATTAACTGGTCATTTGTACTTTTCATCTTCCCTGGTAGCGAGGATTTAGGTTTTCGAGGAAATGAGTAATTCTATTTCATATCATGTGGCCATGAATAATCCAATGAGCATCCATAATACAAAGAGTAATTGAGGGCATATAATTTGAATATGCATGGGATTGCACATACTGTATCATTTTATTTTTTTGATCTACTTGTAATAGTTCAAAAACTAAAACATGAAAGGCCAGGCAAGCAAACTGGCATGGTTTTGTGTTACAAAACATTATTTCATTCTAGATACAATAACATGCATATTGGCATACTTCGTTTTAATATAAGATTGTTATAACTCCAAGTTTTGCAAGTCACATGACCAATTCTTAGACAGTTGATTGGTTGAAACAGTTGATATCAGATATGACAATTTGAAATTAGAAATAAGCTGTTTGTCTGGAGATGGTACAATTTCACACTGAATTCTAGCTTAATGAGAGGGAATTGAGATGGGGCATGTATCTGAGATGAAAGCCTGTGTTTCAAATAGTAAAATTCCATGTCTATCTCAATTTTTTTGAAAATGGCAGTTAGTACAAAGTTATTCTCACGCGACGAATTGTAGACCTCTCTTGAGGTCAACTGTCAAAATTGTATACCGATACTGTAAACCTTGAAAGTTCTGTTGACCGAGACCGGAGATCTAGGTCAACAGTACTCTCAGTGTTTACTGTTGAGGTATACACTTTTGTCAGTTGACCGAATAGAGAGGTGAACAATTGTTTGTTAGTCCGAAGAATATAATAATTGGACGAATATATAATCGAATATCAAGTGAACATATTTGATAAGTAAAGGTATCATATTTTAGCAAAAAATCTCAAACCGTCGAATACTTGTAATTTTTTACACAACTTATTTTTTCAAAATTAAAAAAAAATCAACATTCAAAAAACATTTTTTCAAAAGTAGCGGTCAACAGTACCTAGTAGCGGTCAGCAGTACATATTGTTGCCCGCTCATCAACCAATCAGAAATGAGTATTTCAATTGAGGTACAAACAACACAAAATGACTGATATCTGTTGTCTTTCCATGATTATATTAGTTATTTGTATACAATTTCCATACGGTAAATCAAGGGCATTTAATTTAGAAAATGTTCGTATAATAATCTTTATTTTTCAGATACAAATACATTAAGAAACCAAACAAAATACGTTTCATTCATGGACCACGGACTCACGCGTTTTATTCATGTCCCGACCAACACCTGTAAACAGGACATAAACAGTTTCTCTTGTTGTTCAATGATACATTATATTGGCGTTTTTGCATCAGCACATAGGTGTTGTTGTATCATCGATAATAAACAGAGTGGTGTTGTTGCATCAATAGTGAGGAATTAAAACCGCGAATTTATAGCTTCTTGATGATGCTACATGTATACTAACGACAGTTTTTCAAAATATAGATCATGCGCTAGCTGCATGTGTATGATTATTGAGCAACTCGTCCTAGAAATGGGTTTAAATTGGGAAAACAAAATATCGTTCGAAAATCGATCACCGGAAGTCTGGCCATCTTGATGCAACAACACGGTGTTGTTGCATCACGATACCCCCCAGTGAAGTATGTTCTCAACAAATTATGCTGTTTTATGTTACAATTTGATGATCTACGATGAAGAACATCCTACATTTGATCCATAATGAGGAATATGACATCTCGATTTTAGCTGCACCTCGAATCTAAAAGAACGCCACCAATTCATTATAGTAAACCTTTTGGGAGATATTAGACCACGCTTCTTGCGATTTTGTACACTCCCTTGGCCTATATAGCGTTAATATAGGCCTATGGATCTAATTCTGCTTTTAAAATTATGGACAGGTTTCTGATAAAATCGGTTAAAATTAAAATAATCAAAATTATCGAATTCGGATGGATAGCAGGATTTTCGAATCTACAGAGTGATCCAAAAATGCAACCCTCAATTTCTTAAATATACCATATAAAAATACCATATAAAGTTTAAATCACTTTGACTTATATTGTAGTCTTACCCAATGTTATCAAAGTGTGATATGTGAAACTTTTTTTTTTAATTTCAAAAAGTGTTTTTTGAAGGACCTCTTGTTCGAAAAATCGTGAATTTATTTAAAACTGACTTTTAGAAGTGGCACATTAAATATGGCATTTTATTATTGAAATAGCATGCCCTTTGTTCAACCTTTGCATTGGTGTTAAAAATACCATCTTTTTGAAATGTATGAGGAATATTTGATGATTAAAAAAGCTACTTTTTTGAAAAATGGCGGAATACTTGAGAAATGAAAAGCTGACAACTTTTTTCCAATTTATTTTCAAAAATCTCTAAAATGGAGGGTTTAATTTTTTGCGCCACCCTGTTTAAGACAGTGTGATAAATTCTATTGGTTCAATATTTCTTCAATAAATGGAAGATTATGTAATGAATGTTTTCAAAGAATTCAGTAAAATAAATGTATTTATTTATGAAAATGACAACAACACGGATAGACAGAGATTCATATTCAATACATGGGCCGATTTGCACATCAACATTCAACATCCTCTTATATACAACATACAGCATAATAACATGCACAAGGAATTTCAAATAAAACAGAAAGTTGAACATATGCATGGGGTGACATCTATTTAAAACATAAGAAAATTTCCAGTATCTATTTCATATCTAATGGTCTTTAACTTTTGAAGCTTTTTGAAGGCAATTCAGAGACTTTCACATGTTTGTTTAAAACATTTCTCAGATAGCATCGGGATGAATTTGAATTCCTTTGACTTCACTTCTTAAAAGAGAGCTTCGTCTTCAGTCTACTAGTTTATAACTAGACTCTACGCAAAGGGTGCAAAGGGTAGCATGCCCGTAGCCAGCTTTTTGTAAGGGGGGGGGCGGCTCTCACCCCCCCCCGCAAACCGCCCTCCCCCCCCCAAAAAAAAATTCCCCATGCTAAACCAAGCCCCTTTGTATTGTAAAGGACAGTGGCGGATCCGGAAGCTAACAAGGGGGGACCCACACTTCAAGTCAGGAAAAAATATCCGCGGAAAAACGTTTTAGGGCCATAAAACCAAAAGGGCCAAAATTTCGAAAATCTATGGCACGTTTTTTATTTAAAATTTGGCCTAACATAAAAAAAAATAAGGCCCAAAAAGGTCAAGTAATGCCCTAAAAGGCCAACTGAAGAGGCCCTACAATATTTTTGGGCCAACATTTTTTTCTAGGCCCATCCTAGGGCAACGCGGAAAATTGTTTAGGGCCCTAAAACCAAAAGTTGGGCCAAAATTCTGAAAATTGATGGCTCGTGCTTTGAAAATTTGGCCTATAATTGAAAAAACAAGGCCCAAAAGGTCAAGTAATGCCCAAAAAGGCCCACTAAAGAGGCCCTACAATATTTTTGGGCCAACATTTTTTTCTAGGCTCATCCTATGGCCACGCGGAAAACCTTTTAGAGCCCTAGAACCAAAATTATGAAAATTTATGGCCCGTTTTTTGGAAATTTGGCCGAAAATTGAAAAAAATAAGGCCCAAAAAGGTCAAGTAAAAAGGTCAAGTAAAGGCCAACTAAAGAGGCTCTACAAAATTTTTGGCCAAACATTTTTTTTCTAGGACCATCCTAGGGCCGCGTGTAAGATTTTTAGGGCCCTAAAACCAAAATTCAGGCGAAAATTTATGGCCCGTTTTTTGAAAATTTGGCCTTAAATTGAAAAAATAGGGCCCAAAAGGTCAAGCAATGCCCATAAAGGCCCACTTAAAAGGCCCTGCAATATTTTGGGCCATCATTTTTTCCGGCCCCATCCTAGGGGGGGGGGGGGGGTTTACAAAACACAAAGGACGATCCTAAAAAACAGAGGGAAAGGGGCACAAATATGTCCGCAAAAAAATTGGGCCAAATTTTGAAAATAATGCACAAATTTAAAAAAAAATGCACAGTAATGCCAGTTTTTTAATCTTAATTGCCCAGTGAACGTGGGGAAGAGCAAGTTTTTCTTCAAGGAAGCAAAAAGGTAGGTCCACATTTTTTAGGAGATATCAGACGGGGGGGGGGGGGGCTCATACGAGCCCCCAGAGCCCCCCCTGGCTACGGGCCTGGGTAGGATACTACCTTCTCAGTTGACAAGCCAAGAGGCTGGTATATACTTGTACATTATCTAATATATACTAGATATAGTACATTTACTACATTTAAGTTAGAAACAACCGTTACATATAAGACAACATATCGTCTTTTTTCTTACTACCAAGTCACACCATGTACCAAACTATTTCTCAAACCATTCAAGTGGAAATAACATGTAGTAAATGTTTCTTTGTGTTCAAAATATTGCTAATGTTCAAGTTGAAACTCGTTCCATGTTCCTCATACTTTTGCATATTTTCCATATCGTCCTTTTTGTTGGTACCTCCCTCTCATGGAATTGGATTCCAAAAGCCACTTGCGCTGCAATGAGTAGTGCAATGAAACTTCTGGTTTGTTGATACCCTTTGAGTAGTAAGTTAGGTTTTCTGTCAAACCTCTTTACATAACCCTAATATCACACCAAACTAGTTCTCAATACGTTCTCGAAAACGGACTTAAACTGTGTACAAACAGACGAGCTGAACGTACTACAATCCCGAGACTACGTTCCGCAACCCGTTCCGTTCCGTTAGCCCGTTCGGCAACATGTTTCAAAAGCATAGTAAGAACAGATTTGTTGTGATCGTGTGTTGAGTGTTAACTGACCCAAATTACACTTGTGTCTTGGCCGTGCTCCTGTTGTTAGAAACTGCATTTTCATTTGTTATAGCGCTGTCTTGGATGCGATCAGCCATCTTTTTACAACAGACAAGTTCGTACAGTCCTCGTCTAAACCTGGCGCTCACAAGCGTGTAAATGATAAAGTTAATGCTAGAATTGATGCGCAAGAAGAGGTCAGAAATGATCAAAACACAATACGCTAGCCCATACGAGAACTTCAGTATATCAACGTTTAGTACGATCTTCTCTGAACGATGAAAATAGTACAGAATTTGGACAATTTTAACGCCCATTGCAGGTAGGATCAACAGGAGGAACATGAAGGCGACGACGGTCAACATGAGTGTTAGGTTGTCCCTTCCTTTCTGACTGTCCTTCTCCGTTGATGTAACCAATGCTTTGCGTCTTCTAGCCGCCTTCCTCAAGGCTGACACCAATAAACCGTTCATCGCCAGCACAGACACCACCGGGATGATATATTTAATAAGACCCTCGCAGATCATCCCGTAAACAATCCCATAACCGTACGAGTTTCCAAATGGTGTGAGTTTTCGCATCCCTACAGGAGCACCGGTGCAAGGATTGACAGACATGTACGACTCCTGGTGAAAGCACGTAGGTATGTTGTAGCAGATGCAACAAATGCTAATACATACCACCTCAACCCTTGCTTTGGTGAGAGTACAGAGACTACTCGCTTTGAATGGCTTGCAAACAACAATATAACGGTCTAGTGTAAGTAAAACAACCAGCCAAGAGGATAGCAACTGCAGAGTTTTGTTCACGAATCCAAGATACTGCTTATTCAAGGCAATCCAGTGGACAATCTTTGTGTCTCGATGTTGGACCCATGTTGTGTTCTGGTAGGCCGTCAAAAACGGATCAAACATCAGATACCACAGACAATAAGTCCCGTCTACCAACGCTAGAGATTTCAGGATGAAAATACTTGTATTTGTGTTATCTTTTGATAATATTATGAACGCCAAAATATTTCCAATCAGTCCACCAGCACATAGTACGATACTCAACCAAAACTCAATAGCCATACTGGCCATAGTTAATCCCTTTGGACGTAAACTGTCCAAGTTCAAATCTTTATTATATGGTGGACAGCAAAATAATGTCTTCGTTCGCATATGTCTTAGAAGACACGGGGACAACTGGACCTTGTTGACGTCAACAGTGTCTGTTGACATAATCGGTTTATTCATAGTAGACGTGCGCGTATCGACACCTCTTGTAGTGTAAAGGTCAGCTGTTTCTGTTACGTTCCTATTGTTTTCTGTCCATGATGTAACAAGATTATGTACAATAGGAGATGTGATCTCAATAGCCACAGCGAATTCTTCCTGTGTTGTTTGAACATTGATATCAACTGCATCAGTCTCATTCATTATTTTTGTAACATTTAAAACTGTTGTGTTGAGCATAGACGGATTGACGTTGACACCTCCAGGTGGGTTCCTTTCAGTTGTGACATTATTTTCGTATAATGACACCGTCGGTACTGCCAGCGTTGCTACTGATGTGAGTTCCGTGTCGGAGAACGGAGCTGTTTTAGTCCTCTGATCCTGTTTTGAAAAATTGAAAGCGATGATTTCAGTGACAGATGAATATCCTGCAATCAGCAAAATGAAGACTTTCATCGGAAACTCCATTTCAATTGTTAGTGGAATTTTAGCTCTAGTCTCTATGAGCTATTATTGACAATACTATTGACACTTAAAATCAATAAAAAATGACCATAAAACACGATTTTGATATTTATTCAAGGTGATCGTGGTTTTCACGACCCAACGAATTTGCAAAACGCATGCATATGTTTATCATCTGCTATTGTCATCACGCGCTCAGTTGCGGTTAATACTCAATCAAACAATAAAATCTGCCGTAAACACTACATAAACTAAAAGGATTATTAAACAATAATGATAGTAAATGGGGATAATGTTTTTTCAGTAATTGCAATTTTCCAAAAGAGCCTGAGAACCCGGATATAGTGTAATATCACGTTTGTACTAGTTAAAGCTGAACACTCGTCAAATCATTGCTCTTATGTTATATGCATAGCGCCATCTTTTGCCAGTGTACACATCTTTTAATAATATTCAATTCCCAGAAAGTAAAGTAAGAAAAGACGTAGAAACACTGAAACTGTGGTAATAAGTATTGATGATAGCTCACGTCTCATTTAATAACTAAATGTATTTTATTGTCAGTGCATAAGGATATAACACAGGATTTGAACCTGTCATTTGCAGTGTAATCCTTTTCAAATGAACTCTTTAGCGGATTATCTTATACTTTTAGTAGTGAACAGCAGCTTGCAATTATTTACAAAGCGTATATTTGTACTTGTAAAAGGATCAAAATGTTCATTCTCCACCAAGAGAATGATACGGTGTCTCAATAATTGTTAACAATTGTTGACAGTTTTTGGTTAACAAATGAATAATCCCATCACAGCCTTCTCTCAGCTAGTTTCCTTCTAGAACATTTTTGTGCATGGCAGAGATGGTCTGAGTATTAGAATGGAATAAACCAAGGTATTAAAGAATCTTAGCATCGCATCATTGGAGATTTGGTCCAAGTTTTTTTCAAACGTCATGGAAAATGATTAAAATGACATACAGTAACTGTATAAATCAAAGTTATTCTTGCGGAAAACTTTTCATTGAATTCAAATATGCCATTATAAAGAAAAAAAGTTAGTTAGAGGTTAGAAGTGCAAATCTCTTAAAATCACACGAAAAACAAGAATTGGCGAGATTTCAAAGCTATATGGAAACTCGTCTATTGAACTATATCAAACTTTCCCGCATCGAACATTTTGATCATTCGATCACCTTTCTTAATTAATAAAAAAAATAAAATGAACTATTTGATCACGAAAGTAATAAAGCATGCTTTCCATAAAATTGCCATTATCTTATCAGCTACTAATGGAATCATCCCCTTAATATACGGCCATGTATTGTTAAATACAATAGAGCATGTCATTTTCTATTCCATTGATTTTAAAATGTTATATCATTGTAGATGATTAATAATATCCCAATTTATATTTTCCAAATTCAATTTTCTCATCGAACGCTTTTGGTAGGCCTAACTATATAATGCGCGAAACACTTTGACTTTCAACTTGAAAAATCACGCTCTTTATAACAGTGCGTTTATAATATCAATTAAGAAATTAACATATTTGTTAAGAAAGTATAAAGCTAAAAGTTAATCTACATTTTATCGTATAAACTATAGCAATGTAACCGACTATAAATATTACAGTTAACCTGTGGGATGATCAATATGAGTAGGTACGTACATTTTATCTTGCAATTGTCTATAGGTCGTTGTCGTCATTATTTAAACATCTTGTGATGTCAACATGCGACGTTCGATTTTTTACAGTAGAGTTGGACATATGTTCTATGTTCATGGACTTACCCGTAATTATATCATAGGTTGAGTTATGTATGGTTGAGTTGTGTATGTGTGGTGCTACTTCAGCTGATAATATGTCGGGCTGCTGGCCCAGGTTCTGGTATTTACTTATATTTATATAAATTAGAATTAATCGTCTGGTAATTGGCCGATAACACGAAAAGAAGACGTTTCAATTCTCAGTTATCAAATAGCAATCATAACTGCTTTAACTATGGATGCAATTCCCACACCCCATAATATTTTAACATTGGCACTGCAGGGTGTGTGATCCGACTCTCATTTGAAGACGTTCTGATTTTACGACAAAATAAATACAATATTGAAATAAAAACATAAACGTCAATCGAGTTATGAACATTAATGTCAATTTATGGGCATATTTGCTAACGCCATTCAGCCGTTTGATGCTATTTCGATTAAATATTGATCAACATAGGCTAATATCATGAAAAGTAAGATACTCCGGCATTAGATGTTTAATAGAAGCAATGCTGTTATTTAAAATACATAAATCAAACGTTCATATAAACAAGAAACAGAGTGATATTCGCAGTTAAAGAAGATAGAATGATTTTATTTACATTATATTTATTTTAAATCCCAGCTTGAAAATGATAAATATGAGTTGTTATCATATTGAGATGGCTAGTCAACAATACAGAAATACTTGGCCACATTTTTAGTATCCCGTCCACCCGTTTAAGATACAATAAATAAAATATAGTGAAAATAGATATCAGGATATTGGGATGTCCAAGTGACAGAAAGAATTAAATGCATATTTCAATCTCCGATTTAAGGGCCCTTTACGAGTATTCGTTTGACCAGGGCACGTAAAGGGCAAGCGGGTCTCGAAGGACAAGTCGAGTTGTTCTTTAACAATAGTACAATAATGATACCCCAATGGGGCGTAATATGCGGGGATTTTGATGACAATGCTGCGAAGGTTGTTTGTCGAGAGCTCGGTTTTCCAAAGGGCACCAGAGCAGTTCCTCTGCTTGTAAGGATTCTATATTTCTATAACATTTCATATTTTAGCTATCATTCATACGTTGTTTCGGTATGATTTCGAACATACATCAAAAACACTTTCCGACAGATAAAGTCACTTTAGTGACAATTTTTGAACGTTTTTTATCCTTAAAACATTCCATTAATTGTTTAAAGGATTCTCATTTCGGAATAAAAGATAAGCAGACTTTCATGCACCTCCCCCCGAATGCATGTAACGGTACAGAGAAGAGGCTGGTCGATTGTCAACATTCGCCTATCCTTCATTGGCCTCCAGGTACCGTGTTTATAGCATCATATTCTCGCAGATTACTGAGCAAACTGAGATTAATTGGGCAAAATAAAATGAAAAGTGCCCTTGTACAGTGAAACCTGTTAAGTGAAACAGTTCTCTGTTTGGGGAAAACTTCAGAGTAAAAAGATCAACTGACTCAATGTTAAATGAACCTCTATAAGTGGAACACCTCCCAAGGGAACACTTTTTAGGCCCTAACCATGAGGTTGCGAGTTCGAGACACGTGTGCTCCTTGTGTTTATTCATTTTAGGCTTTTACTGTACTTAAAAGTGTAACTGTCGATCAATCTAGGATAGCAGACTCATTATACTCATTGTTTGATATCTTTGTTAAAGATACCATCTTAGATTTTCAAGGTATGATGTTTTCATATTGTTTGAAAATCAAACTGGGAAACGAGTATGTAAAGATACACCACTTGTATGAATTTTACATATTCCAGGAATTTCATGTAAGCGCACAAATATCCACAGGGACAATAAGGACGGTTCTGAGAACATCATTGGCGTCTCGTGTGAATCTGAACCAGATATTGAAAGTGAGTGCAAAGAACACCCTTCATAGGCCAGAACCTTACATAGTCCATTTTATAAGTATTACTTTTGAGTATTAGTCTAGCCACAAGCCCTTGTGAGCCCCCTCCCCCAACTACACGCCTCACCTGTTGTGTACGTTCGTGTAGGGCTCCATAGTCTTGAAGCAAGACTATTTGAATTATGATTTCAACCTATTGTTAGGGTACACCGACACCCATAATATGTTTGATTTTGAAATCCATTGTGAATTGACTAGAATCCTACACATACGCTTTTCACCATGCTCTTGAAAAATATCTATATAAGTAATTATAGACATTGACTTCAATTGATTTTTTCTATTTCAATTTTTTTATACACACTACTCGTACTATTGATTGTTAATTGTAAATATTGTTTGGAGGGCATTATATTACTGGTCTTGGTCATTGTTTGCTCATCCCACCAAAAGGAAACAAAGGTTATTGAACAAATACTTTTATATGGTACAGAAAACAATCTACATATAATATATTCATATACACTACTGACCAATCATGTCATTTCAGTTCGACTTGTTGATGGAATAGACAACACAGAAGGAAGGGTGGAACTCAGCTACTATGGTACATGGGGCACTATATGTGACGACTCCTGGGATGACAACGATGCCAAGGTCGTATGTCAACAGCTGGGTTTATACCAGACCCATGGCAAAGCATTTAGCATGAGGGCCGCCTATTTTGGAGAGGGCCAAGGTGCAGAGTAATTTATTTAACGTTATGACCATCAATCCTCAAACTCAATGTATTTTAGGCACTAAAATAGCATGATTTGGTACGTTGAAATAGCATGAAATTCCCGGCATATTGCTGCAATGTAGACCTCCTCATAACTTTCGGGATGCTCTCTGTATTTCGAGTGCATTTTTCAAATTCTCCAGCGTCATTAATTAAAGGATCAGATAAGATAGAGAGGAGATAAGTGAAAAAATTGTTGGGAGATTTAAAAATTATTATTCCTGGATAAATACTTTTGCAGCATTTTCGAGTGTAGCTTTATCGAGTCCAATCAATGCATGACCGCCATCTTGAGCCACACAAGCGCCATTCATCATTGCCGCATCATCAGAGGCCAAAAACGCGATCAATTTTGCAGTTTCTTCAACCGATCCGACTTTTCTTATCGGTACCACTTTCTCGCAGTTGGAATACAGCTCGACTTGTTCCTCTTTAGATAATCCCAAGTTTTTTAAATTGTTAAAGTTTTTCACAAAACCTGGACACACAGCATTTACACGAACCCCCTGAGCTCCAAACTCAAGCGCTGCACATTTGACAAACATATTCAATCCTGCTTTTACAATGCTATCAAAAGGAGCGATGTCAGTTGCATTTGTAGAATATAAATCCGAAGTACAGACGATGTTTCCTCCACTCTGCTTCAGAGCTGGGAAACACAACTGCGACAAATGCATAGGAGCACGAAGCATAACCTTCACCTCCAAATCAAATGCTTCCATTGGGCCTGTTGTTAAATCATGCGGTTCATAATACCCAGCGTTGCTGACTAAAATATCAATCCTTCCAAATGTTTTAATAGCAGTTTCTTTGATGTTTGCAAGGGTATTCTCATCCATTACATCCCCTTGGACATAGGGAAACATGGCATTCTCGGTACTGACACTTTTGCATTCAGCGACAGTTTCGTTAATGCCATTTAAATCTCGCCCATGAACCAGAACACTTGCGCCCTCTTTAGCCAGTAACATTGCAGTAGCTCTACCTATACCACTACTAGATCCAGTAATAATCGCGCACTTCCCCGAAATCTCATGATGACTAGATCCCCTTTATTTCATGCACTATACGAGTATATACGAGTGTATTTGCAAAGATGCTCTATATACAAGTCATTGACATGTAGAAATTCTATTCATCTGACATGAACTTTGAACATGCAATGAATAGACATGGCCAGGTTTAAAATGTTCACTATAAACAGGACTGTGCAATAATAAATTATATATGTCGTACATTAACGGTCTAGTTTGACACCAACAGACTCATGAATAGAGAAAAAATGTCGGAAGTAAAGTATAATTCATTTCATGCCAAATTGAAATCAACGTTTATTGTAAGGTGGATACTGTTTTATATGTACAATCCATGCCATTTAATCTCTGTATTAAAGGTGCAACAATTAGTGCAAATGGGCCATTCAACGATCAGGGACCAGTGTCAAAATATATTTAAGTTTGGATATTTCATCCAGACTAACATATATTTTTATGATCTACAAAGAAACCCCAAGGATGAACATTATTTCAGCTGATATTCCACTTGTAACGTCGTGGATCTTAAAACTCTATAAGTGGGACTCCCTTTATAGAAGCTTTGAATTTGCACTTCTTAATGCTGAAATTGATAGTTTACCCATATATTTTAAGAAAATAGGTATGTCAAAGAGGATGTTAAGCCAAATGTTGCCCTGATAGCTCAGAAAAAATAAAAAATTTCGAATTTTCTCTCTACAGTCCTTGTTGCCCCTTTAACCATTTGGGAATAAACAAATGACTTTTTGTTGAATGGTCGCCTAAAACACAATTCATTACAAAATTGATGAAAATATAAATGGATTGTTACACTAATGATAGATGTGTCTTGATGTGATGGTTGTTACTATAGTAATAGTGCCTTCGAGATTGAAATAAATCGCTAGACTTAAATGGTGGAGCTGACGGTTTAAAAACTGAGCAATACACTGTAAGTAACCTTTCGTCTCCTATTTTAGTTCCTCATGTGTTCATGAATAAAGTTGCCTGCAATGGTAACGAAGATAAGCTCCAAACGTGTGGGCTTGTCAAGTCTGTTGGAACCTGCCTTAAAAGTAAAGATGCATCCGTGTCATGTCTGAGAACGCCTATCCGAAGTAAGTATATTGTTATACGAGTATTAAGAAAATTCAAATATTCGATCGATTTGATATTCGAATATTATTGCAACTGAAGTCCATGTATTGTTATTTACCGATTTTACCTAGAATACATCTTCAAAATTCAATGTTAACGTTGTTTCCCGTAGATAGGGTCAGATTGGTAGGAGGGTCAGACTACGCAGGTAGGGTGGAGGTTTACCATAAACACAAATGGGGAACTGTTAAAAGTAGCAACAGACCATTCGGAATCGACCAACATGCTTCAACAAATAACTTTGAAAGAGTCATATGCAGACAGCTAGGCCTTACATCAAACTTGGATAGTGCGACGAGGTAGGTTAGTTTAACTTGCTATGTTCAAATAAAGGCGAGGGCCATCGCGATTATTACTTTTATGTATCATCAATGTTGTCGCTGTGATCAATGTAATGTTGCCAGCATTTGCCTTGAATTTCAAGGTACCTCGGATCACCATTTGGTTATGGATCAGCCAGATCACTACCATACATCAAATGTTTTGGAAATGAGTCATCGGTTGAAGATTGTGTGCTTGAATGGTCCTCTAATCGTTATTGGCGTGCCCCAGGGTGGTTCCATTTATCAGATGCATCTTTGTCGTGCAAACCGCAACCGCTAGAAGGTATGATACCAAATGTGGCTTTATTTGCCAGAACAGCGTTATTCTTGGTCAAATTAATATTGAAAAGGTCATTGGTGTCTCTGAATTCCCATGGCACAGGGTATACTATCTATGTGACGTAAATTAATAAAGCTTTCTATTTCATAAAATTAGTGAGACTCGCTGATGGTGCCAAAAAGTCTCAAGGTCGTCTTGAGGTTAACTTCAATGGTATTTGGGGAACCGTTTGTGATGATCTAGTAACAGTTTCTGATGCTAGAGTCGTATGTAAGATGCTTGGGTACAACGACAACAGAGGTATTGTCGTACCAAGGGGAACTTTCCCTCCAGGTAAACAAAAAGCATCAATTCATTTATCATGTTACTTACTTTCTAAAAATCACAATTTCCCCTTCATTTAAATCCAATGCATATTTTGTACAATCCCAAGTGACCTAGAAGGTCTTGGTAGATATCAGAATAAATTATTTTACCTCAATAGCTTTATAATTAATTGAGCCTGTTACCCGTTGACAATATTTTAGTCTAGCTACAAGTCTTTGTGGTCCTCCCCTACACACCTCCCCTCTGTATGAGTTTCATACATTTGAAGTCAAATAATGGGAGGGGGGTTAACAGGGGCTTGTAGCTAGACTAACAATCTTTTAGGAGATGGAATTCGAACATGGCTCTCAGCGATGAGATGTAAAGGATCTGAGACGATTATTGATACATGCGACAGAAATAAGATATTGCAAAAGTTTGGGAAGAAATGGGAATGTGGACATTCAGAGGATGTTGGAATAGACTGCGACCCTCCAATATCATCAGGTGAGGATCATTTGTAGATTAAACGAACGCAAAACATAACTGATAAATGAATCAAATCAATATTCTTAATTTGAAAAAGTTATCTTAAGAATAAACACTAACCAAATGTTTTTTTCATTAGGAATTTAAATTATCATAAAACGTGTTACTTTACATATTATAAATACTTTAACACGCGGTACTAACTTCGACCGTTAATTTGAATTTTTGACCTACCGGATGTTTGAAAGTCAAGGATTACGGGTCTCGTACAGCACCGTTTTTCTTCAAACTTTCCATTCAAAGCATAACAAAAATCCCTTTCTGTTGGTACATTATTCTCTTAAACAGAGTCCCTACTTCCAGCGGCATTTTGGTCCCCAGCTGTAAGAAGGCCTTCTAACAGCTGGGGACCAAAACGCTGCTAGAACGAGAGACTCTTTACAGTAAAGTAATGCACCGACAGAAAGGCAATTTTGTTTTGCTTTTAATGGTATAAGTTTCAAGAAGAACGGTACAGTATGAGACTTGCAATCCTTCATTTTCGAGCATCTGGTAGGTCAAAAATTCAAATTAACGGTCGAAGTTAGGACCGCGTGTTTAAGGCCCCTACTAAATAATTTATGTTATCAGAGTTATGGAGGCTTTCCGGTGCGGGAGAAGGCGTCGGTGTGGTGCAGTACAACTATAATCTTACTGGCTTATGGGGAGTAATTACAATATTCGATGTTAATATAAAAAAGGCACTCGCCCCGCTAATTTGCGATCATTTCGGGTACGATCCCGAAAATGCAAAATCACTGCGAGATTTTGACTACTACGACTCTAGTAAAGGTCTTCCCGTTATTTCAAACAAAATCAGTTGTCCAACCCCAACGACTTCACTGCGTGATTGCAATGTCTCTCTTCTTCCACAACCCTCATTCTCATCACCACATAGGAACATGCTCATCGTATCATGTATACCAGAGGACACAGGAAGTAAGTCACAATAACCAACATTCAAACGTCTTCTTCGATTTACACTATTTGCGCAAATACCAATTTGAAAGCAATATTGAAATGTCAATCTTTGAATAAAATAGGTCAATATTTTGAAATAGTCAGGCTAACCAGTTGGAGCAAAATGATATTCCGAAAATGTACATCGACAACCATATACATGTGAATGTTTCAGTTCGACTAGTTGGTGGTAAAGATGACACGGAAGGGATGGTGCAAGTTAGGGGAAAGGGTATGTGGGTAGGCATGGGAGAAACAGTATCCAGTCAATTCAACGACAATCATGCAGCTGTTGTTTGTCGACAATTGGGCTTCAAAGATACGTCAGAGGCAACGTCTTTAACAGGTAATCGCCTTTTACATTCAACAGAGAATATAGAACACAAATATGCAAAAAATATGGAGCCAATTATGAACATAAAAACAAACCCTGAACACCCAAAGCACGAACCAAAGTACAATGAATCAGCGCATTGCCGTTCATGTAGGTTTCATTTTGGATTTTCAGAAGCCTACTTTTCTAAAATGGATGTTTCAAACCCGATTGCGTTGCGAATTAACGATAGAAATTGTCCGTTGGAGACAAATAAAGACATTATGAGCTGTATATATTCTGCGTGGTTTATCAATACATTTCCACCGGTGGAGCCTGCCGCCGTATCTTGTGTTAAACCAGCACGTGGTAAGTGAACATTGAATTCAGTCATTTACATTAATGAATTATATAACGGTTCTCATCTCTAGTTTTTGTGTCACCACCGAAAGTGCCAACACATTGTTAGTTGTTACAGTCTCCAACTTTTTTGTGTTCGACAGTCTGCGTTCGGCGCCGGTCGGCGCCTCAGTACAAACTCTTACAACTTCCAATAACCATTGCTGGTAAGTCACCAATCGTTACATAGGCCTACTTTATATAGACTCTTCGTTTAGAAACAATAAGACTCAGTGGAGGATCTCATTCATACGGCAGATTGGAAGTGTTGTACAAAGGAGAGTGGGGGACAGTTTGTGCTGCTGACTGGAGAGAACGGCAGTCCATTGTTGCATGTAGACAACTGGGCTTTGGGAGCGCGTTCGCCCAACAAATACAATCTGGTATGTCTTTCTTTAGTAAAGAACAGATCGGGAGCGAATTCAGCTGGAATCAGCATCCTCCGAAAGCAGGGCTCCAGATATCATCCCCCGGGGTATCATCCACTATTGTTCCTCATTCATCCAGGGATTCAGGTCAATACTTCCTTTTTTGTGGAGAGAAAAAAAGAACAAAGTGGATGAAGTCTGATGATGTCTGGACCCCATACGTTCGGAGAATGGAATATCAGTCTTAAAACTATGACACTGTCCATACCTGCTATGATAAAAGTAGGGAGAGATTCATAAAAAAGTGTTACACACAAACATGAAGTCGTGTCCCATGGTCCATTGGGAGGAGCATTTATTCGAAATTTTTGCCCAATTAATCATTTCTTCGTGGCTTCAATAATATAACAACTTCTTCAGTGAGTGGCAAAAGCTTAACAGCAAATTGATATCCATTTTATATTTCTTGATCATTAGTCAAGTCATGTCTTATTGTAATTTCATTTCCAATGCAGGAACGTCAACAAAAGAAAATGTTCCTGAAAGGATTTGGTTGTATGACGTTGATTGTACTGGGGAAGAGAAAAGACTGGAAGGATGTCGACATAACGGTTGGGGTTGTGCTCCTTGTGAGCATGCGGAAGATGTTGAGATTACATGCGAAGAAGTTCTGGAAGAAGGTACGAAATATACACATTGTACAATAATATTAACAGTGTGATGATGGGTGATGTTATATTTCTCCCAATACCTTCCTCTTTCTGATTCACGCGTACGATACTGAGTTGTCCAACTCCTAAACAGTGTCTGATTTCTCTAAATCCAACGTTTTTTTTATATTAGTTCGTCTTGTGGATGGAATCGGTCCCTACACTGGTCGGTTGGAGGTAAAACATATGGGTGAATGGAAGTCTGTGTGCTCCTACAATGGATGGGATAATAAACTTGATTCTAAAACTGTATGCAATCAACTAGGCTATACAACTGATGATCCAAACTTTATTTACGCTGCGCACAACGGTTGGTTTATAAAATGGAGAAATGGGTACCATTATTATCGTGAATCATTAAAAGATGTTCAAATATTACATTTCGAAGAATCTGAATTCACATTCACAGTGAACGAAAATGTCACAGTTTCAGATTTATTATTTCAGAAAAGATCCGCATGGGAACTGATGAAGAATTTTCCATGGTGAGGAGCAGGGTAACTTGCGACGGGACTGAGGACAACCTCGGACGATGCAGTCATCTACATGGATTCCTTTCTTTTGTCGAAGTTACTCCCTCCAGTCTCGGCAGTGCTTTGTATAATTGGTGCGTTCACGAAGACAACTCTGTGTGGATCTACTGCCCAACTGAGACACCACGTATGTTCCTTATTGTACTAACATGATTGAATTTAAACATCCATCTCATGTGAGAGGACCTCGTTCAGCAGTCCAAGGTGCAGATGCAAAAGTGCCAGAATCATGAAATCGTCTTTAGCCGAAGAGGGACAACGTATATTTGGATCTTTGGTACACCGAGATGTTTTATTTTTGATCAGACACAAAGGCCTATATACCGATACATATTTCCCTTTCATCTTACAGTTGTAAATCCGACGGCTGAGTCCTGTAGCGATGGTTGGTTCCTTGAGAATATTGTGACTGATAAAATGGTTTGCGCAAAGAAAATAATCATGGAAGATTGTTCTGTAAGTTAATCAATTGAGCCAATGTATGGACGAAATTGAATCGACCATTTGTTTCTAACTGAAATACTAGACCAATCATGGGCGTAGCCAGGGAAGGGGGAGGGGGTACAGTGGGTGCTACCCTTCCCCCACAAAAAAGTAATTTTAGTATGTCCCCGACTAACTGTCAAGCGTGACATATTCATCACATTGTGATTGTGTCTATCCATATCAAGTATTCTAATTTATTTTACCAACCAGGCAGCTGGACGCCTCACAGGTTATCCACTCATGTGTGAAGATGACGCAGGGAACATATCTATGACGGGGTTGAAAAGTGTTGACGGCTGTCCAACAGGTTTTGTGACAACATACGATACGTTTGATGAAAGCGATATAGACTGGATGAATGATGTTATGTCAGCATATGGAGATTAGAGAAACGTTTAGAAAAATATAACTTTATAAAAGTTTTTGCAAACCTCTCTTTTTGTACAGTTATATTCCATAGAAATACATACAAAGAACTCCAGACACGAGCTCACCCTATGCAGACAGAGCATGTGGGAAATATTGGGTGCGGAGCAAATGAGCGGAGGGTGCGGAGCTAACGGTTATTTTTGAATTTAAATTTGGGATATTTCTGAAACTAAGCCGTTTTGGGACTTCAAATATACCAAGATATGTGTATTTGACACCAAATATCAATACAATTGTGAAAATAGTAGCGCAGTTCATTCTATAGCGACGCAGTGTGCCTTAAACCTTTCCCAGACCTATATATTTTGAAATTATCCTTTTAATACTGAGTCCCCAGCATTCATAAAAAATGGTGTTCAAGGTGCACTATCTATACAAATTATTTTTGCATCTTGGAAGCCAGGCAGTATCTGTGTGATTTTATAAAAATTCTGAAATTTTTTCAGATATGAGCCCCCTCTAAATATTGGGTGCGGAGCAGCTCCACAAACGTAGCTCCGCACCCAATATTTAGAGGGGGCTCATATCTGAAGAACATTTCCGAATTTTTATAAAATCACACAGATACTGCCTGGCTTCCAAGATGCAAAAATAATTTGCATGGGTAGTGTATCTTGAACACCATTTTTATGAATGCTGGGGACGCAGTATTAAAAGGATAGTCTCAAAATATATAGGTCTGGGAAATGTTTAAGGCATACTGCGTCGCTCCGCACCCTCCGCTCATTTGCGCCGCACCCAATATTTCCCACAGGCTCTGTCTGCATAGGGTGGAGCTAAAACGAGACGAATAATGGATATAACGCAAGAAAACTTGCAGAATATATAAAATGGCTGGCCATCTGAATGTATCGTCATACTTTTAAGCCCTCAAAATTGATTTTACACCGTTAAAAATCACTTTGTATGCCGTCGAAAACGATTTCATACGCAGTTGAGAATAACTTTGTACGGCGTCAATATCAATTTTGAAAGGCGTCGAAAATAATTTTGTACAAACAATCGAAGCAATGATTTCAAACTTGGCTGCCATCCAAGACGTAATTTACGTGTCACATACAATTTTTGACGTGGTTCAAAATCATTTTTGACGGCGTGCAAAATCATTTTTGACGCGGTAACTCAACCGCGTAATTGTCGTTTTTGATTGGATTATACGTGCGGTGTTAAAAGTATGACAATAGTTTCGTCCAGATGGCCAACCATATATATCACTCATATTTACGACCTTACATGATTATTATCATGATGATATGGTTGAAAATATGGCCAGGTTTCCAGGACAAAAAGCAGCTGATAAATACCGCGATTCATTTATACAATAAGTGAGCTGATATCATGAATGTGACCTTTTCTAATTCCATAAAATGACTATGAGGCTCATGGAGCCTGGAAATATCATGTAGAGCTTATTTTTATTTCAAATATAACATACTAGACAAATAACAATTTTATGCTAAACGGTATTGATTTCACTTAAAGTAATGAGTTCATAACCTGATAATCATTATCTTGTAAAATAGAAACTGACGATTTTGGATATGTAAAGCAGGCATGTAATCAAACCTTTGTACACAGCCAACCCACCTCCATATGGAACCCATGCCGCTATCCACGTGATATCCGCGTAAAAAAGTTGACTTATCTTTCTTTCTTTTTTTTTTTATAATAATAATAATAATAATAATAAGATTTTATTTCATATAAGGCCTCTGGCCCATTGTGTACATAGTATATTTACAATAGTGTAATATTGGTTGCTTCAATAATTAATAGTGATAACTTCTTTAGGAGGATAGCATTTTTTGTTTTCATCAATTGGATGAATTGATCTGTGCTATAGTTTTCTACAAAGGTAATGTCAAGACTTAATCTAATATTATGGTATCTAGGACACTTACACATTACATGGTACTCATCCTCTATTATTATGGTACAATATTTACACATTCTATTGTCTCTTACAATATTACGGTGTCTTCCCGTTTCAATTTCAAAACAGTGGTTCGAAACTCTAAATTTTGCTAGAGCTTTAATACATCTATATTCTAAATTACATAATAAATAAAATTCAGGCTCTAAAATATTTTTAAATTGCATATATGTATATAATTTGGGGCTTTCCCTGAGTTTCCCTAGCCAAGCTTGGCTGTACATATCCTGAAGTCTTTGCTTAAATATAAAAATAAAATATAATTGGTTCCCTACACTTTGCTCAAACCATGCATGTCCAAATCCCAGTGAAAAAAGCAAATATTTGATTTTTGATGCCCGAGTTGTTTTTCCCGATTGATCTAGTTGATAAAGCATTGTATAGCATGATTTAGGATGTCTATGATTAGGCATTTCTGTTAATTTTATCCAGTATTTTATGGTTTTAAGCATATAAGTGGTACAAAGTGGAAGTCTGCCACATTCGCCTAATGCTGCTGCATCATTTGATTGTGGTCCCACACCTATAAAATATTTACAAAACTGAGCTTGTGTACATTCAATTACATTACACCATTCATATCCCCACATCTCTGAACCATAGCACAAGATGGGTGTTACCATGGCATCAAACAGAGAGAACATAAGTTTAAGTGGTATTCTTCCACACTTTTGGTTAAGTTGTTTGAGTAAAATAATAGATTTCTTTGCTTGTGAAGCAAGCTGACTTTTAGCTGGAGACCAGGAGAGTCTTGTGGAAAATAGTATACCTAGATATTTATAATATGATATTTGTTCTATCTCTGCTCCTTCAAAATAAAATTTTTCATTTTGCCTGAGGGGACCACCATTCCTGAACACCATCACATTTGTTTTGGATAAATTTACTTTCATTCCCCATTTACGTGAAAAGCTACCTAAGGTATCAAGTTGTTTTTGCACATTTGGTACAGTGTTACCTATACAATTTAAGTCATCCACATAACACAATGCCATTATATTAGGGGAACCTTCTACAATATGGATTCCTTGGCAGTTTTGTTCCCTCAGCATGTTAAAAAATGAGTTTACATACATAATGAACCACGTTGGGCTGAGTGAATCTCCTTGAAATATACCCTTTGTACATGGAAAAAAAATTGTAATTCCTTTTACATGTTTAATAGTATGGATATCTTGCTCTATATTTACATTTATCTCGCATTTAACACAGCATTGAAGTTTACTGTACATCGATTGATATAGTTTTAACACGTTACCATGGATACCTGTAGTCATCATTTTATAAAATAGGTGGCGGTGGGGTATATTATCAAACGCTTTTGAGAAATCAATTAAAATACAATAGAACCTTCCACCTGGTGTTGACAAATGTTTCTGGGTCATTGCTGATAAAGTGAAAATATTATCAATTGTACTGTACCCTGGTCTCGATCCCGCTTGGGATTCATCTATAACGCTGTTACCTTTACTCCAATTTAACATCCTTATATTGAATATTGAATTAAACATCTTTGCTAAGGTCTCAAGAAGTGAAATACCTCGAAAATTTGAACATATATAGGTTCCCTTTTTATGAATAGGGCATATTATTGCTTTGCACCAGTCATCAGGGTAAATCCCTGACTTTAAAATCGCATTATACAGTTCCACCAATTTAGGGGTAATGATGTCCTTTGTATGTACAATAAATTCATTTAAGAATCCACTCAGTCCGTGTGCTTTGTCATGTTTTAGTTTATTTATACAGAATGTAACTTCCTCCGTTGAAATTGGATCATTTAATATATCTGGGTCATTATTATCACATTCAATACACAGGTTGTCATGGAGTTGCATGGTATGATCTATCCGTATTTTAAATTCCTGGTCAATATTTACAGTTTCATCATTCAGTAGTGAATTGAAATAGTCTTTCCAATCATTAGGGTCAATATTGATATTAGGTTGTTTCTTTCTTAACAATTGTTTGATTGTCGCCCATTTATTGTTACGGTCTTGTATTAGTCCACACATCTTTGCTTTCAGTTTGTTCTTCTTAAGTTTAACTGATGTCTTGAATTGATTCCTGTATGTTGTATATTGTTCGTAATCGGTTTGGTTGCGTGTTGTCCTGAAAATGTTCAATTGGCGGTATTTCTTGGCTTTCAGTTCCTGTAGTTCATTATCCCACCATTCTGGTTGTTGGGGTTTGTTTTTTGCCCGTTTGCTCGATGATTTTTGTTTCATGCTTGCACCTGCTCTTGTGTATATATTGTTCAGGACATTTATACTTTCATTGATGTTGCCATCATTTATCAGATGTGAAAAGTTCTGCAGGAGAGCTTTTGTTTCATCATCACACATTGTTCTCTGAAATGTTGGTTCTTTATCATGTTTCCATTTATAGGAATCGGTTTTTATTATTTGCGGGTTTCGGTTAATGTCTTGTTGCTGTTCATGGAGGATATTAATGTTTAACTGCAGGAGTGTTGGGTAATGGTCAGATTCGTCAATTGTTAGTACAGAAAAATTTTCAATTTTATCAAATAATGAATCTGGTGCTAATGTGAGATCTACTTGGCTGAGTCCATCATTTGATATACATGTGAATTCTCCTTCTGGGTCACCCTTTGTTCTTCCATTTACGATGTGAATGCCAAATGTTTTACATATATCAATAAGAGATCTGCCATACTGGTTATCTACTGTGTCACGGTTTGCTCTTGGTTTTTGAAAGTTGTCAAGGTTATATAGTTCAGGAAAAGGGATATTCTCTGCTGTGTCTGGTGTGATATAGTCTCGCAATTGTGCAGTTCTACAGTTTGTATCACCACTTAATAATATGTCACATTCTGGCACTTTCTCCAACAAATGGATGATTTTTGTTTCCAATAGAGATATTCCGTCCTCTTCATGGTTATAAAGTGAAGATCTTTCTGGAGCTACATATATGCACAATAATCCAATATCTTTATCTTATCCGAAGTAATGTTTACTTAGTTTAAAGGCTACAGATTCTTTTAGGTTATGACATACACGTTTGATCCCATCTAATAGTGATTTACGAACGAATACACATATCCCTCCATGGTATCTGCCTCTTGATTTAGTTTTAGGTCTGCTTAGACCAAAGCATTTATGCGTATCAAGTAAATCGTCAAAATCATGATTCGTTTTTGCCCAAGTTTCACAGATATTTATAATGTCATATGATTTGAAACGTTCAAGTAGTTCCCCTTTATTTGTATGTTGCGATAGACCATGTGCATTCCATTGTAATATAGTCAATATTGTTTGGTTTGTTTGTTTCGGGCCTTGGCCATGCCCCTATCTGTTTTTATTCAACTTGATAACTTCCGATTTCTTTTCATCATATGCAAAATATTCGCCATCTATCACTAGTTTGTCGTAGTTAAATGTGGCCTTTTGGTTTTCCTCTTTGGCCTTCTTTAGTGTTGGTAGCAGCTTTTTACGGATGTCTCGTACATGTTTTGACGGGTCCTCGTGAATGTAGACATTTGGTGCGCTGTTTTTCAGTTTGAATCTTGAGTTCCAGATAGTTTGTTTACCTTTGTACTTCGTAAATTTTACTATGATAGGTTTTGGCCTGATATTTCCAAAGTTTGTTTATCTTCAAATAGCAACAGGACCAACAAAGTTCATATTCACTCTACTGCAAGGATGTGCCATCTTTAATTTATTAATACTAGTATTATATTTAATATTCTAATACAACAATGTTTGAATGCGAGCACTGTCGATTTCAGGGCCATTTATATAATAGAGGAGTTTCCATATATTGCTTTGAAATCTCACAAATTCTCGTTTTTTCATGAGATTTAAAGAGATTTGCACTTTAAACCTCTAACAACCAAGCTTTCTTTCTTTTAATAGCATATTTGAATTCAGTGAAAAGTTTTCCCCAATAATATAGCCTAACATTGATTTATACAATTATGTCACTTAATCAACATACGTTTTAAAAATATTTGAGCCAACACGTTGACATGGTCATCCCACAGTCAGTCAAGTCGAGTAACTAAGTCAACATTCGAAAATAAAAATCTCAAAAATCGTACATCTTCGATTTCCAAAATAATTTGTGAGGTGGTTATTAAGATGATAATACACATTTTAACGTATTAATTTTGAGTACATCTCGAATCCATTCTCAACAAAAGCGTTCTCGAAATAAGTATTCGAAATATTTGAGTTCGGTATGATAAAAGTACATTAAGATATACCGCTCCTTAACAAACTCCTTTGGGACCAAGATATAGAATCAAATGCATATTCTTCTTATTTACTCCCTGGCACATGCCAACGAATGTTACATACGTAAATATCTCCGTTTTAAATAATTTTGTTAACGTTGTTTTCTACAGGTGCCATTTTTATAATTGAAAAACAAAATTGAACATTTTGTTTTTCTAAATTGATAAGTTTCTTAGAATACAACTTAACCGTTAACGATTTAAGTCATTAATAATATTTCCCTTAGTGATCCCATGCTAAATATACAGTAAGTAGGTCATTGTTTTGTGGCTTTTAAACATGAGTCGACAATTATGTAGGGAATTTCAATTCCAAATGTAGGCGTGTCAACTCATGTTTTTGCACAAAATTTAGCCTTTTATAATGATAGATCGCCAAAATCTGCATGTACCTCTCAATGAGGCAACACGTTTTTAAATTTATAGATGCTGAGCTATAAACTCAAACAAAAATTAAACCACCCGCTATTATTTTGATTACACAAGACGAAATTTCCACTCCCGGGGAGCACTGTGGTAACACTTTGAAGGAGGATTCTTGAAATATCGTTCGAATTTTCTCAAAAGGTTTCACGCAATTTTATTGCTTTGTTTAAGCCCCGACTAATATCATACTCAAATCCGATACCATAATTATAAATTAAAATGAAACATTAAACTCACCAGGTTAAATAATAAACCGTTTCGAGAATTGATGATTTGAGTTAACTGTGGATATTTATATAAATGTAAGTCGGCATGTATTCGACAGTTAATGTACACACATGATGTATGCATCAACGTGTGACTTAAATATCGATTCGTGACAATCATATTTGGTTTTCAAAAATTAAGTTGGAAGTTACAGTGGTTGGAGATTAACGAAAACGTCAATCACATCCAAATATCAGAACGACGTCAAGTATGAACAATACACTTTTTGTGCATCTCGAACAAGGCAAGGTTCTGTAATCCAGCAATGTGCATTCCGAAAGAAAAAATTCACAAATATCAACAAATCCCATTGAGTTGGATATTACATTCAAAATCACAACTTTCGAAATATTTGTTTTAACCAAGAATTGTAAGAACTTGAAACATGTTGTTAGTTCTTCAAACCGCATATCCTCATTTACGTTCTTTGACAAGGATAAATTCATTTAAAAACATGGATTTTCTTGATTATTCTTCAAAACTACCCTTGAAATATTAGTAATTGGGATATTACAGTGTAAATTGACACGCATTTGTTTGCTCCATATCATGAAAAAATAAATGCAGTACCATCTTTCAATATTTGAAAACAGAAAGTTCATTCTTTATGTAAACAAGAAAAATTACATTTATGGTTGATTCATAATGAAAAATGACAAATAACATACATCTTTTGAAGTAGGGGTATAGTGGGACATAGTGGAAATTCAGAAATTTAGGCAATATCCCAAAGATTGCTTCACCAATATGTAACAGAACATCAAATTTATCATTTACATGTTTGCTGATAGGTTTATTGAAAATAATTAATCAGAGGTTTACTTTAATTATGGTACCATTCTTAGTTAATATTGATGAACATAGGAATATCGAATGTTGACTAAGTTACTTGACTTGACCGAGTATGCAATTTGAGTTTCAGACAGTTTCAGCACTTTTTCATAAATCATTAAATTAAGTGACTATTGCAAGTTTATAAAATGGCTATGGCAGGCTATGGCAGTCTGGCTCAAGCAAAACGAAGAATGACAAAGGTGACATCTATTATATCAGCTTTATTCCATTCTGATTTATCAGAGTCCCTCTTTACCTAACGTTTTTGAGAGAACTATTCCAAAAGGATAGTAAAGGCTGTGGATCCCACAATGGCTTTATTCAGCTATTTAGAAACTATACTATTAGGACCAATCCTATTGGTATAGCACTGGTGCATCTCATTTTTCCAGTCAATTTAGTAATCATTTCATCTGAAGATGCTGGCGTGTCAAAGATTAATATCAGGTCTTAAAGTGAAAAATTAAATGGGATGTTCACCATTATGGTATTCATCACTTATATCTGTTTGCAATTAGCTATTAATATCCTCGGGTTGAACTGGGTTCATTCATCGACGCTAATATCTGACAGAAGGGGTGAAACTTTCTCAGTGTGCTGGGCCAAATCGAAAGTACGAACCCATGGCATTCCACTGGCGGATTAGGGGGGGGGGGGGGGGGGGGGGGGGGCTGGGGGCCCAAGGGGGGGCTCAGAAAAAAAAGTTGGACCCAAAAAAATTGTGGGCCAAAAAAGGCCTTAAGGCCCCATAAAGTGGGCCTTTTTATCATTTCTGGGCCTTTTAAGGCCTTATTTTTTAATTTCAGGCCAAATTTTGAAGAAAATGGGCCTCAGAATTTCAAAATGTGGGCCCACTTTGGGATTTTACGGGCCCAAAATTTTTTCCCGCGGATGTTTTTTTCTCTGACCTGAAATTTGGGCCCCCCCTTGTTGGTTTCCAGATCCGCCCCTGCATTCTAGAAAGAAATTGATAGAACGCTGATCAGACGATGGTACATGTTTCCTTTTTACAGTTATCAGAAGCAACGCTGGATATAGCCTTGCCCAAGTCGGTCTCTTTTACTTATCTTGATTTCTGTTATGACCAGATAAGTAAAAAATACCGACTTGGGCAAGGCTACGCTGGATACAGCATCAACCAGAACTGAGGACAGACGCCGAATATGAAATTACATTTACCATGTTGATCACGATGCTTTAATTAATAAACACGATGCTTTAATTAATATTGTTTGATCACTGGGGTAATAAAGCATGTATTTCATTCTCTTGTTAGTAGTATTTTATCAGCTGCTGGAATCATGCTTTTAACAGTCGTTAAAACTGCAAATACAATAAAGCGTGTCATTTTCCACATCAATTGCTTTTGTGAATTTGATTTAAAATGTCTCCTTATTGTTATATTTAGATGTTATGTTTACATATATTTGTGAATGCAAATTTTAATATTTTGATCAAGTGGTGTTATATTCCGAATATGTTAACGCATCATTTGGGCACTTTGAAGTCATGCAGTTAGAAAATAAAAGTGAATTTGTTCTTTATTGTACGAGCATATATCCGGCTTGAACTATAAATGTTGACTGATAGATGATCACGATGGATCGGTATGTAAAGATTAAGTCTATAATATAGACTCTATATAGGTCATTCTTCAAACCATATAGCTATATATTATATGTTGGTATACAACGTTATTTTGTTATTCGTGGACTTAACGTGGTTTTACGTTCATCATTGCAGGTTGTGTAACGTATGTGTGCTACTACTTCATCTCATTTGGTGTGCTGTTGGTCATCATTACGGTATTAATTACATTTACAAACTTTAATATTGATCATCAGATTTCTTAATGGAGCTACATGCATATGACACAGTTCGAAATTGAATATCATTATTATTGTTAGCTGTTACATCTTCGTCCTTGGTTGTTACTGTTTTTGCTTTTGAAAATCAGGCAGTAAAACTTGCAGGAATGGTAAAACCCCGTTAATATAAAATCGTATTTGCTGACAAAATGCTGGACTGTTTAAACCACTTCAGCTAAATACATCATTGATATCAATATCATATTCTTAGAGATAAATACTCGTATCAAGAAAACGATCGAATCGTATGTCCATAGCATAAACATGTAAGAATAGAGAACAGACTGCTGAAAGCAAGTATCGTGAAAACTTAATGTGCATATTTTAATAATCATGTGCGCATTAAAGGACTTGGACCAACAAACGCAGACATTACAAGTATTCGGCTAACTAGGTCACGTGAAGGAAGAGAAGGTCTTGAGGGACAAGTCGAGTTGTACTTTAACAATAGTGCAATAATGACACCCCAATGGGGCGTGATATGTGGGGATTTCGATGAAAATGCTGCCAAGATTGTATGTAGGGAGCTCGGTTTCCCAGTGGGCACTCGAGCAGTTCCACTTCTAGTAAGAATAATAACAATTTTAACTAGTAGCGTGTATTATGACTTTTGTTTGAACAAAATGCAAACGTTTTGGGATAAGTTCGTCAACGGTGCACGTCAATTTCTTCTGTGGTCATTATCAATTTTCATATTCTGAAAACTCCCACCATTAAAGGATTCTCATTTCGGACTACAAGATAGGCAGACGTTCATACATCTTCCTCTAAATGCGTGTGCGGGTGATGAGGAAAGGCTGATAGAATGTCAACATTCGCCCATCCTGGAGGAACATTGGCCCGAAGGTACTGTAGGAAGTATTAGAGTTGCTTCAAGTCTTTGGACCCCCTCTATCCCCTTTACCACAAATGGAACTGGTAATGGAGGGTCACAAGGGCTTGCAGCTATCTCCAGATTTCTTTAGTAACTTGAAGCATGAGTTTCCGAAATAATTAGATGATTTCAGCATGTTCAACCTTTTCATCACACATCCCGTCCTCTTAGTTCTTCATAAGTCTCTCTGGGGCCTCGATCGTGTGACACAAACATTTTTCACACCTCTTCGATTCCAGACATTTCATGTAATCGTACGGACATCCACAGGGATAATGAAGACGGTTCCAAGAACATCATTGGCGTCTCTTGTGGTTCCGAACCCGATATTGAAGGTAAGTGAAATGAACAATAAAGTTACAAACTTGATTAGATAGAATTTTGAGTTAGATTTAGTTTATAGATGGCCTATAGGCCATCAGCTTCACCCCAAAATTTAGGTTATCGGTACCAAGTTAGGGGAATAAGCCTCATTGTGATTTTTGGCAAGGTAAATACCTCTAGAGTAAGAAATTATATGATAGCATTGCAGGAGTGGCAGCTAAATGGTTGTTATCACCCATTTTTCAAAATGGCCGCCGGTGCACTTACTACCAAATAAAAGAAGTTATATCAAAGCACACTGAGAGACAAAAACAGTGATTTTGAGGTCTATTTCAGGGTTTTAGGGGTCAAGGATTTCATTTAAGTCAAAATCTAAGTCATCAAAGAATTGGAAATCCAAGATGGCCGCCATAATGGATGTCAAAACAAATATGTCACTATTGATATAAGTTCAAAAAGCTCAAAGAATGGTTAAAAAGTGACTTTGGAGACCATGAAAAGGTTTAAGAGGATAGGGATTTTATTTGTCTCTAAATCTAAATAATAATCAAAGAACTACTTTACATAGAAATCCAAAATGGCCACCAAAATGAATGTCAAAATGAATACGTAACTATTTATGTAAACTCAAAAATGGTTGCTTTTGCAGACCATGGTAAGTTTAAATAGAGGTTAAGGATTCCATTCATGTATAAATTGAAGTGATTAAAGAATACCTTTATACAGAAATCTAAACTGGCTGCCAAAATGGCTGCAAAAATGAATTTTTAAGCACATAGAAAAATTAGAATAGTTATGTTATAGATATCTGAGACTGGGTTTCAGGAGAAAATGGTTTCAATTTACCTTTACTTAAGTTATCTTAACCTTTCCTCATATTAAAATCCAAAATGGTCACCAAACTGGCTGCCAAAATAAATTACAACATTCACATGGAGCATGACTCAACCATCTAACCTATTTCCTTTATTTGCCATCTTGAAGTCCACAGGCTGCAGACCTAGTTCTCTCAACATGATTTTCCGAGAAGAACATTGGAAGCCTCTAAAGCCTACATGAACTGGGAAGTGTCTCACCTTCCACCCTTTACACCTTACTTTGTCAATGAGGTCTTCATTCTCGGCACTCTTCAGTCTATCCGAGATATTATCTTCTGTGTAATTGTAGACTTGGATTGAGTCTGTCCTTTCTTTACAGACCTACGGCCCTCGGGCAGATATATTATATTGGCCTTGGGATAATCCCCATATCCTGAACCTCATATAGGATAATCTCTATGTACCAACTCCCTACATTGCTAAGGTCAATAGCTTTCATCCACTTTTCTAGTTCTCACAGATGCTGTTGTTGGGACCCATCAAAATATTTTGCCAAAATATATTCAATTCTCTCATCATGGATAGTATGAAAAAAAAACATTAGCTTCATTTGTTACTCTGCTTGCAGAGTCTAGTTAAACTAGAGATGAAGCTCTCTTTTCTGAAGCGAAGTCGAATTAATGCAAAGGATATTCCTTTGTATACCACTCAGTTGAAAAGATTCCTGGGATTGCACTACATATATCTCATCTTCTCCAAGCAGCTTAAAATCCGTTATGCTCCAGGAAATGACTAGGTCATAACATTAATGATGTCCAAAAAGGCTAGGCAAGAAAGATGTCTTGTATCATCATTCCCTTTGAGACCTCCATATTAGGACTCTTCTGCTTTCATAAACCAGTTCATTGTTTTGATGAAGAGAGTACAATTGAGATGGTACATCACATCAGGGCCATCTTTGATATCCAAATGAATATGTTCCAAAATTAATTATTCATTTTGGCAGCCATTTTGGTTGCCATCCTGAATATCCAAATAAAAGAATTATTTGATGACTTAAAGTTCTCAACCATTTAAACCTAGCCATTGACTTAAAATTATCGACCTCTGAAACCTAGACATGGTCTCCAAAATCACTTTGTAATTGTTCATTGAGCTTATATAAATGGTAACTTATTCATTTTGGCATCCATCTTGGATTTCCCTTCAAGTTATTCTTTGAAAACTAAGACAATAAAATTATTGATCCCCAAACCCTTTCATGATCTACAAAACTACATTTTAGCTATTCTTTGAGCTTACATTAATAGTTACATGTTCGTTTCGGCACCCATATTGGCGGCCATTTTGGTTTTCTATGAAAAGTAATTATTTGATTACTTAGACTAAAATGAAGCATAAGTGAAATCATTAACCTCTAAACCCTTTCATGATCTATAAAATTGCTTTTTATCTGTTCTTTGAGCATGTATCAATACATGTAGTTACATATTCCATTTGGCACCTATTTTGGCGGCCATCTTGGATTTACATATAAGGTAATCCTTTGATGACATAGATTTAGACATGAATAAAATCCTTAGGCTTGAAAACCTCTTCTAAAACTCTTCAAAATCATTTTGAAACGTTTTAGCTTGTATCATTAGTTACATATTTGTTTTTGAACCAAAATTGGTGGCCATCTTGGATTTTCGTATGAATTTATGTTTTGATGACTTGGATTTATGCATAAATTGAATCAGTGACTCCTAAAACCCAGAATTAGACCCTAAAATTACTGATTTTGCTTCTCAGTATGCTTAGATATAACTTCTTTCATTTGGTAGCAAGCGCACCGGCAGCCATTTTGAAAAATGGGTAAAAACACCCATTTAGCTGCCACTTCTGCAATGCTATCACATATTTTCTTACTCTAGGGGTGTACACCTTCCCAAAAATCACCATGGCCATTATTCCCCTGATTTGGTACCGACCAACCCCCCAGGCTGATCGCCTACTACGAGAGGTTTGCAAATGCAATAATATTATAAAAATTGAGACTGTTCAATGCTTTGTTGGTGAAATACATCATAAGTTAATTGTTGCTTGCCTTAAACCAAAACAGAAGGTCAAGATTTAAGGCTAGGACATAATCAACGATTGTTTTAGCACACAAAAAGCACACAAAGTCAAAACAACCGTTCATCTGCATGCTGTAAAGTGTAGAATGACTTTTTTCCGTTTTGATTAGCCGAAATGTGATATATCATGCTTAATGAATACACAATGCATCCATATCAAACTCTCATATCCATACCCAATTATAGTTCGACTTGTTGATGGAAGAGACGAAACAGAGGGCAGGGTCGAAATGAGTTACTATGGTACCTGGGGTACTATATGTGACGACTCTTGGGATGACAACGATGCCAAGGTCGTATGTCAACAGCTGGGTTTATACCAGACCCATGGCAAAGCATATAGCATGAGGGCCGCCTATTTTGGCGAGGGCCAAGGTACCTAATTTAATAATTTCCTCCTATGAAAATATACATGTGAATGTGCAAGGGGCATCCATGTACAGGATCACCAGAGACTGATCGATGGAAATATCTTAAAAATATTCAAAGATCACTGAATTCAACAATTTGCATTCGAATTGTTCACACTTGTCATAATAATGTTATACGTGGTTTTTGCCACCTATTAATGATTAATTTAATGTTTGAATTGTTTGGCTGTATAATATGAAATGCTTGGCTGTGACATGAAAATGCTTGGCTGTGAGAGATATTTAGATCGTCTAGTCTTACCGTACTCGCAAATATGAATAACGAATATAAGTTACATAATACAATTACTTTATTATTGTGTAACCTTTAATCAACTGTGAACGTGTAAACAATAATATGTACGTTAAACCATTTCACTTTCGTTTACCTCGAATACAATGCTATATGTCTGTCAGACCAATGTTAAATTCGGCATCCTCGATTACCTAGTTTTCTCCATTTCCTTTCCTCGGCTCCTTGACTTATTTTCCGACATCATGACGATTGTAAGTTTTCAGATTCTTTTCCGCTATCTTCCCACCATCTTTCCACTATCATTTTCTTCACCCTGATCTTACATTCATTCACAACTTATATACCATTTGAAACGTTAACAAGACGCATCTCATCATTGACTCTGATTGGTTACTTATTACATAGAGTTCTAAAGATAGAAATGATGTCATTGTCAGGATAATGCAAGAACAGACAAACGTTGGACCTTCGTCATGCACCTGGCTATAATTGATTACTGGAAAGCTGATTTACATATTTAGATCCAGTCATATCAGGAGCATGTTTATAAACAGAACTGACCTCAGGATGTACCTAATAAATCTTGAGCTGTCAGCATTGTGAAATACTGTTCTCAACACTAACATGAATTGAACCTACTTTACATTCTTCCTTTGCAGTGCCTCACGTATTTATGAATAATGTTGCTTGTGATGGGATTGAAGATAAAATAGATGAGTGTGGTCTTGTCAGGTCTGTGGGAAACTGCCTTAAAAGTAAAGACGCATCAGTGTCATGTTTGAGAGAACCTGTTCAAAGTAAGTAACCATATCCTGATATCGTGGACAAAGAATTAGAAAACCACTGAGTCACGTGGAATAATCTACTTGTTAAGGGCTTTTTTACCAATTAACTGTACCGAAATTGTGTAAACAGATGTTATTTCCTCTTATAACGATATGATGTTGAAAGGAGCACGTAGGTTATCGCAAACAATTTCAAACGATTCTAACTTGAATTATGAATATTTTCTGATCATGAACATGGATGTATCTTTTAGATCCATTCATTATCTTCAAGAAAAGTATATATAATGATAATTTAGTTAATCAGACCTAAGTGATATTGAAGGGGCAATGGACCAATCAACATACTTTTTCAAAAATGTTGACCTAATTTTCACCAAAAATGCAACCTATTATTATATTGTTGAATGCATAATTAGAATGTGCTTTGAGACATGTTCAAAATCCTAAAAGGAAAATTTGATTGCTCCAGGGACTTTAAAGATATTCAATTTGGATGACCAAAATGAACTGAAACAAATGGATAGCATGAGATTTTTCAATGGAGAAATAACATGGGGAACTCTTATCTTAATGCAATTAAGTTTTTCTTTCAAGAACTGTTTGATACATCAAAATAAAGAATAGTAATGCATTAAACATTGTAAAAAATGATTGCATTTTTGGTGAAAATGGGGTCAACATCTTCAAAATGGGGTAAAAAAGTGTGTTGATGGGTTAATTGCTAGTTAAATATCTCCGAGTTTGTTTGAATTTATTATTACTGTGCATAATTTTCATTGAGATAATGAATTGATCTAAAAGATAAACTTGTCTTCATTGTCAGAAAATAGTCATAATCCAAGATATAACCTTCTGAAATTGTTTGCGATAACCCACGTGCTCCTTTCTAAATGTTATGCCAAAAGACAAAGCAAATAATAAATAAATAAATACTTCCTGTAGATAGGGTGAGACTAGTAGGAGGGTCAGAGTACGCTGGTAGGGTAGAGATTTACCATAAACTTAAGTGGGGAACTGTTAAGAATAGCGACAAACCATTCGGAATCGACCAACATGCTTCAGCAAATTACTTCGAAAGAGTCATATGTAGACAGCTTGGTTTAACAACAGCGTTGGAGAGTGCTGTCAGGTACTATCGTATGCATTCGTTCAATTTCGCTTCTTAAAACTAGATTTAGCGCGCAGGGTAGTTATCATGAAACTACTCAATTCATATCAGTAACTGTGACGTTTACGACCAGGTCATTCATATTTGTTTTATATTAATGTTCATATGACCCATTTCTATTTGCTAAAGATACCGTGGATCCCCGTTCGGTTACGGATCAGATAGATCCTTACAGTACATCAAATGTTACGGAAATGAATCCACGATTGACGACTGTGTACTTGAATGGACGTCCAACCTCTATTGGCGTGCACCAGGTTGGTTCCATTGGTCAGACGCATCAGTGTCCTGCAAACCACATCCTTTAGAAGGTAAGACGTCCACGTCCATAATGTTATGTTCGAACATACATTTAAGTAGCTACTATAGTAGTATATGATCTCTGTAAAAAACGTTGTATTTGACAATGTCTGAACTTGTGTTTTGAGGGAGGGGCGAAAACCAGTCATCCTTGCCTATAGGAAAATGAGCTAACTTTTTTTTAGAACAGTGATATTAGCGTGTTCACTGGTGATCCACTCGATTACGCTGGTTACCAAAACGAACCGTTTTGGTAACAAAATGTCGGAACATCCGGAAGGTACGATTTTTCTCGTTTCCTTATTTTACACGTTGTAGGCAGAATTCCAACGACATTTTTTAACACAAACGTGTATCAGTATCATATGTTTAAGAAAGTGTACATATTCGCGAACAAATAGTTCAGAAGACAACAGAATCGTCGATTTACTTCCTCACTTAAGTTACATAAACGGTTTGGGTTAAAAGTGCAGATCTTAACTGTTTTTCGAAAAACCGTTTATGTAACTTAAGTGAGGAAGTAAATCGACGATTCTGTTGTCCTCTGAGCCAATTTATTGCAAACATGTACATTTTCTAAAACATATCATACTGATGCACGTTGTGAGAAGAAACGTCGTGGGGATTCTGCCTACAACGCGTGAAATAAGGAAAAAAGAAAAATCGTGCCTTCGACGTTCCGACATTTTGTTACCAAAACGGTTCGTTTTGGTAACCAGCGTAATCGAGTGGATCACCAGTGGTGTTTTTATTTCATTTAATTAGTGAGACTTGCTGATGGTGCCACGGCATCACAAGGTCGCCTTGAGGTTAACTTTAATGGTATTTGGGGAACCGTTTGTGATGATTTGGTAACTCCAACTGATGCTAGAGTTGTATGTAAGATGCTTGGATACAACGACGGCAGAGGTATTGTCGTACCAAGGGGAACTTTCCCTCCAGGTAAACAAGAATCATCAATATATTTGTTTCTCATGTTTCAGAGAATTTCATCATTCCCTAATGCATAACAATATTGTCTAAACTCTGGTTCATCAGATGGTTTTGCAAGATATCTTGATAGGGAAGATCACCGATAGCAAAATTAATGTTCCTATTAAGGCATATGCTTCAGTCTTGCACTTGGTCTAATATCCAAAAACCGTTGTTTAACTTGATGTGTCACCCTGCTGTCTCAATTGATACAAAAACTATGAATTTCTTTACAAGGAGACGGTCTTCGAACTTGGATCTCGGCGTTGATGTGTGGGCCATCTGACACGATCATCGATAACTGTGACAGAAATAAATTAAAATTTGGCAAGAGATGGGCATGTGACCATTCTGAAGATGTCGGTATAGACTGTGACCCGCCAACATCGAAAGGTGATCGGTTCAAATTACATAGTAGCCGAGACAACACAAGTCCCAAGTCTGTATATTTTTTCTCATTTCTCCACTTTTAAAAGTTAAGTCACCACATTTTGCATGCACATTCCTTGGAGAAATCCTAACATAGAATTTTATTGGTTTTGATTATAATTTATTTGTTAAATATAGGGAAACATTTGATTTTGACTGGTCTATAATCAAAATTTTCCATTTTGTGTAACAAATGCAACATTTTGACATTATTAATAAAACTCCAAGTTATAAATGACAGATATAATATGGTGACTCTAATCTTATTGACAATAACTAATTAACTATCACTAGTTAATTTTTGCCAGTCATCAGATCATGCAATGGAAGTGTACCTCAATAAGAAATGCATTCATTGATTGTGGCAAGTAGTGAATTGTCAAAAGAATGTTGGAGTTGCACCATTATTTTGCTGCATTTTGGTGCTTCTTTTTCCATTAAGGTCGTTTTGGTACCACTGTGATGTCATAATATATAATTTGATGTCATAATATGGGTACCAAATTGAATCACACATTACAAGCTTTAGGATGATACCAAATATGCCATCATTCATTTGATTAAAATGGTAACTGGAATAAGCTCAAAAGGTATGCCACTCCCCTATCCCATCCATTTTTCAGGTCATTGAAACATGCCAAAATCTCAAATAGTGCAGGCATCTTCATGGGTCGTTTTTGGCCCCGTTTTATTTAAAATATCATGTTTCTGCATGTCATTTTTCTCGGAAATGTCTCAACTACCTAAAACAGTTACATTTGTGCTGAATAAGAAAACATTTGGTCATTTTCGAGTTATTACATCAAAAGTAGAGACTTTTATTAATTTTATCAAAATGTTGCATTTGTTACAAAATGGCAAATTTTTGTTATCGGCCAATCAAAATCAAATGTTTCCCTATTTTTAACAAATAAATTATAATCAAAACTAATGAAATTCTATGTTAGGATTCCTCCAAGGAATGTGCATGCAAAATATGGTGACTTAACTTTTAAAAGTTAAATATGTAAGTGTAAGTTGAACAAACCAGAATTGAAGTTCCAATTTTACTTGTATTTTTATAGTGTAAAATCGGTCTTAGTGAACACCCCCTCTCTAGTTACCATCGCTGTAGTGGACACTTACCAACACTGAACATTATTTTCTTGGCAAAAAATGTTCAATTTACAGACAGAGTATCGATTGTTTTAATATTTTCCAAACTACATTAAAAATATGTTTGACATCAGATCTTAAAAGGGGGATGTTAGATGTGTGTTACCCATGCAATGAAATAATATTAATATGCATATACCATTTGTCTAATATTTTGTATCCTCCAACACACTGGTTAAATTAACATTGCTGGTGCATCATTTGTTTAAGATTTCGCCAGAAAGTGCCTTTAAGGATTACCTCTTAAATGACAGACAAACACCAAACAAAATATTGTTATTTTTGTACCTGGATCTAGGTTTTGCTGTCCAATATTTGGTATATATATTATTTGGGGCACTTAAAAAAAAATCACATTTTCTGAGCTATATGTTGACGAGACATTTTTATACAACTCATATTCAAGATACAATACCTATATTGCTAGATCATAACGAGAACATTTTTTGAATCTGTAGTTCTCATGCGATATCTAAGGGGGGGGGGCTATCTACCAACTGTGTTTACAAGAATAACAGATTGCGTGATCTCTGTGTTGCAGAGTTGTGGAGGCTGGCCGGTGCAGGGGAAGGTGCCGGTGTGTTGCAATACAACAACAATGGCATATGGGGAATATTTACGATGTTCAGTACTAGTACAAAGGCTTCACTCGCCCCCCTTATTTGCGAATATTTTGGGTATGATCGCAAAAATGCAAAGGCACTGCGAGATTATGAATACTACGATTCCAGCAAAGGATTCCCTGTTATTTCGAACCAAATCAGATGTTCAGCCCCTAGGATTTCACTACGTGATTGCAAACCATCTCTTAGGACACCTTCATACAAAGTAGCACATAGGAATATGCTTATCGTGTCATGCGTGCCAGAGACAGAACCGGAGGATACAAGAAGTATATTGTTCTTTTTTGTGTATTTACTCTCTCCATTCCTCTAGTTTATAATTTCTTTCTTATTAGAATTGATATTGACATTTGTTTGAAATGATGCACAAGTCTATATCGAGCTAATAAAAATCAAAATTAAACAAAGAACACATCATCTTAACGCCATCTTTATTATTCAATCAGCGTAATAATCCGGAGCCCAGAAAACACTACTGTACATTGTACCACGATATTATTATGCCACCACCCCAAGTGATAACATATCTCCAACTTTTTTGTGACGGCGTTAGGCGTCTGTGATCGAAGATCGGCGCGTGCAACAAATGGCCGGTGGTGACATTTTGCATGTTAATTCCACGTTCATTCGTATTTCAGTTCGACTAGTTGGTGGTGAAGATGATACTGAAGGTATGGTGCAAGTGAGGGGTAGGGGTATATGGGTAGGGATTGGAGATTCTCCTACTAGTCATTTTAACGACAATCACGCTGCAGTAATTTGTCGACAATTGGGCTTCAACGATACATCAAATGCTGCTTCATTAAAAGGTACTTTGTTTCTGTGCGTATCTATTTAGGCTACTGAATGCAAATGTGATCTTAACCCTATAATGACTAATAAATGCATGTTTTCAGCTAGTACAATAGATCATGTTTATATTTAAATGTCTTTCATTACTTTGATAAAAATACGATTATTTGTCCTAGACTTGACGTGTGTTTCATTTCAAACTTTTCAGAATCCTACTTTTCTAAAATGGATGATCCAATAGTGTTACGGATTAAAGATAAGTTTTGTTCCCTGGAAACAAACATGGATATCAGGAGATGTACATATCCTGCCTGGTTCATAGATACATTTCCAACTATGGATACTGCGGCTGTATCGTGTACAAAACCAAAACGCGGTAAATTTTCGTTATTTGAATCATTTACACCGATAATGAGATTGTTTTCAGGACTGGCATGTCCTTCATCGACATGGGTTATTTTGCCATAGTAGTGTTTTCTGTCAATTCATATATTTACATGAATATAACTGCTTCTCATACATTATACAGGGTTAACAAATTGATACCTATAAATTACGTTTTCAATTAAGTTTTTGCTCCTCTGTATTAAATCCATTTTGTTTAGAAACGTTAAGACTTAGCGGGGGTTCTGATTCGTTCGGTAGATTGGAAGTGTTCTACAAGGGAGAGTGGGGGACAATCTGTGCTTCAAACTGGAGGCAACAACATTCCATCATTGCGTGCAGACAACTTGGCTTTGGCAGCACCTATGCACATAAAATACCTTCAGGTACCTTTGCAGGCAACATTAGGGAGGTCAAGATAAACGTTTTTAAAAAATTGTACGTAAACGTAGAATAATGGTCCCCTGTGCGTTAGTTCTCCCATTTGTTCTGTTCAGCTGTACCTGTGTTGCTGATTGCGTATAATGGTTTATCCCATACTTGGACGTGTTACGGGTACATAAAGCCGGTTTATAAAAACTTATATTTTCATCAGCGGGCAGATATAGCTTTACGTCCCGCTTCGAGCGGGCAGATATACTATATCTGCCCGCTACGTCATAATCGCTGTTCCCGTATTGGTTCTTTTTTGTAACGTTCGCATACTGTAAACGCGACAATGGAGAAAAAACGCAGACAATCTCGACCTGTTTGATGCTTTAAAGAAGGGAAGGAGCAGTATACCCCGTTAATAATCAAAGATTTGAGCAGGAAAAGAAACAAGAATACAAAACATGAATATTTAAAAATAATTCCACGATTGGTTGCAAAGTTTCTGAACTTTGGCCAATTGAACAATGTGATTGGTATGGGATAAACAGATCATCCTATAGTCGGTTCAGGATATTTGGATTATCCCTTGGCCAATATAATATATCTACCCTCGGGGCCTACGGCCCTCGGGCAGATATATTATATTGGCCTCGGGATAATCCCAATATCCTGAACCTCATATAAGATAATCTCTATATACGGAAAATAATTGTAGTGACGTCCCTGGAAAGATGAAATGAGAGCGGAACAGTAACCTCGTTTGTCGAAATATTGCATACTCGTACAGGTTCTCTTTAAAACGTATAACTTAACCCCCCTAGCATTGCTCTGGACAGTTTTGTTCCGTATTTATTCGGAACAACATTTCAAGTAAATTGTTTCCATCAACATTTCCATTTTCTTGACACCATCACAATATATATATTTATACTAAAATGTACAATTTATACTAAAATATACAATACAATACAAGTGGTGACATATATTGTTAAAGTCTCCCACTCTTTTGTGAACGGTACTAGGTGGTCGAATTTGGCGGTATCAAATGGAAGGTGGTGACATTTTGCATGTTAACGCCTTGTTAAATTATTCATAATTACTATCATCTACTGACAAATGCAAGTGTTTACCGTTTACACTATAGGAACATCAAGAAGAGAAAACGTGCCAGATAGAATATGGTTGCATAATTTAGCATGTACTGGGTCTGAGAAAAGACTGGAAGGATGTCGACATAATGGTTGGGGATTTGCTCCTTGTGAGCATGCGGAGGATGTTGAGATTACATGCGAAGAAATTTTGGAAGAAGGTACGATAACTTACTACAAAATATTGTATTATGTAGTCCCATTATAGTATCACCTTCATCCTTTGATATCACGATAGCAGTCCTATACCGGTCTCTTTTACTTATCTTGATTCCTATTATGATTCAAGATCAGATCTAGGTAAAAAGTACCGACTTGGGGCAAGGCTATCCTTTACCAACAGTGCCGGGTTCCTTTAAATTTAAAACGTTTTTACACATTTATTAGTTCGACTCGTGGATGGTATCGGTCCTTACACTGGTCGATTGGAGGTAAAACATGTGGGCGAATGGAAGTCTGTATGTACCTACATGAGATGGGATAGTAAAAACGATTCGAAAACTGTGTGCAATCAACTAGGCTACAAAACTAATGACCCAAACTTTATATACGCTGCGCATAACGGTAGGTTTATAGAATTCTGAAATGTGTACCATTATTATCGTAAATTATTTCCGTTGATTTTGTATCCAAACTTTATTTACGCTGCGCATAATGGTTTGTAGTTCATTTATGTGCCCTTCTCTCATTTTCATCAGGCATATCTTTTTCATCGATGCTATGACAAGTAAGCTTAAAGTCAAATGGAGTGCAAAAATAGGTTTTTACCATTTCAGAAAAGATCCGCATGGGAACCGATGACGAATTTTCCATGGTGCGAAGTAGGTTGACTTGCGATGGGACAGAAGATAATCTTGGGCGATGTGGTCATCAGCATGGATTCCTTTCCTTTGTTCCTGTAACACCGGCTAGTCTCGGAAGTGCTTTGTATAATTGGTGCGTTCACGAAGACAACTCTGTGTGGATCTACTGCCCAACTGATACGCCACGTACGTTTCTTTAATGTGATTTTTGTACATTTATACATGGTCATCCTTATTGGTGGTAGTTAAAAACATAACGCCACTCTGTGCAAGCAATACCAACCAGAGCCCTCATTATCCGGTCAGCGCTAAATTAGCGTTGCGATTTGCGTTGCGCTTGCGAATCAACATTATTCGCAAGCGCAAATCATGGTTTGCGTCGTATTACGCGCTTCACGCAAACGCAGACGCAACGCAGACGCAACAGTATGCTAATCGCAAATAAATTGGAAACGCGGGAAATTTAAACTTAGAGCTCAAAATAGATATCGATTTTTTAATGTCTATGTATGTTTACGCCAGTGCGGATGTGTCAATCCCATACTTGGACGTGTTATAGGTACATAAAGCTGGTTTGTAATTAGAGGTTATGTCACTATGACGTGAAATATGCCTGAGTTCTCCCAATATAGGCCGACCTTGGGAGGCTCTATATTTGGGCAAGAACGAAGGCATATTTCACGTCATAGTGACATAACTGATGTATTACATGCCTTTGTTCCCATGGTTACTTTGTATCAATGACGTGACGTCATGATATTATCATGGTTATTAAAGAAATCTAATATCAAAACGAGGTAAGCGGGCTATATCGGGGTAATCGGGCAATATCGGTGGATATAGCTCGCTAACTTTCCCATTGACTTCCATACAAATGCTTCGCTAGGTATGTAATACAAACTTTTATTCCATACTTAGTAGTGTTATAGGTATATAACATGCGGGAATATAACTGATATGTGACGTGAGCGGGAGACATATATATCTACTGAGCCAGGGGACTTTGCTATTATTCCTAACAATCTACTAAGTATAGAATAAATCAGTTATTAAATGCTCGATTTTTGATACAGGGTATATCCCTCGGTAAATACAATATATCAACCCTCGGTCCCTACGGTCCCTCGGGTTGATATATTGTATTTCCCTCAGATATACCCTGTATCAAAAACCTCCCATTAAATAACCTCTATATATTTTCATCAGCGGTCAGATATAGCTATACGTCCCGCTCTGAGCGGGCAGATACAGTATATCTGCCCGCTGACGTCATAATCGCCGTTCGCATATTGGTTCATTTTTGTAACATGAGCATAATTACTGTAAACGATAATGGAGAAAAGGCAGACAATTGCGATCTGTTTGAAGGAAGGAAATGAGCGTATCCCTGTTAAACAAGGATTTCAGAAATAAATGTGGATGAATATCTGAAAATCAGGCTATTCTAAATGAATTCTTACGGTTGGTTGGACATTTTCTGAACTCCGGCCAATTGAACAGCGTGAACAAAATGACCAAGATTGGTATGGTATAAACAGATCATCCTATAGTTCAATATCAAGGAGGATTGGCTCCCAGAATGCAACACCGATATTCTGCAAAACAATCACCTAGCGATAGCTTTGTTGGAGAGTATCGGGTCATTCTCCATGCAGTCGTACAAATTATACAGACACGAATAGCAAATGACGCATGCGTGGAGATTAAAGAATATCGAGTTGGAACCCTGGCTTCCAATCCTCCTTGGTTCAATATCCTGAACCTCATATATGATAATCTCTATTTATCCCATGATACTACTAATTCCCGATGAATAACCGGGATTATTCCATAATACTACTGTTTTCCCAGGGAAATATGAAGGAATAAAAATCGTATTGAATCGTATTACATGAAAAAATCGTATTGTCCCCGGGAAAAAAATCGTATTGGAGCGTATTACATGAAAAAATCGTATTGTCCCCGGGAAAAATCGTATTGGAGCATATTAACCTATTTTCGGTTTCCCGGTTATTTTTTCCCAGTTATCTGCATTATCCAAATGTAGCATTTTAGAGGGGTGTATTATGGAATAAATAGGTTATTTCTGGTCGGAATTGAATATGGGTTTTATACCTCGGAAAATATGATATTGACCTTGGGCTATATGATATTGACACTCGGTCGCTGCGCTCCCTCGGTCAATATCATATTACCCTTCGGTCAATATCATATTGTCCCTCGGAATAAAACCCATATTCAATCCCTCCTAGTAAATAACCTATATTTATTCCATAATAACATGTTTTCCCTGGGAAAATAACAGGGAATAAAAGTGTTATTTGAAAAATCCCGTATCAGATCCCGTATCAGCCAAAATCCCGTATCAGATCCCGTATTGGATCCCGTATCAGCAAAAATCCCGTATCAGATCCCGTATCAGAAAAATTGAAAAAAAAATATTATGAAATAAATAGGTTATTGATGGTCGTGATGGAATATGGATTTATTCCTTGAGAAAATATTTTGCCAAACAAAGCTTCCTCTTTCAATCAGTTGGGTCGATATAGCATGCTAAAATGATGTTCTTATGTGAAAAACGAATTCCAGTTTTATCATCATCGCTCTGACACAGACAAAAATGCTTACGTATTGCTGAATGTTTTGATGTTGATGTGTTTATGTTACACATGTACAATAATTTTTTTATATTTAAAAATATCATAAAGCTAAGTCATATTTTCTTGATTAAATATACCATTTTTTCATAGAAAAATCTAACTAATGATTTTATGAAGACAGTTATGAATATCATGGAATAAAAAGCTAATTTACTGGTCGGGATTAAATATGGGTTTATTCCTCATGACAATTTGATATTTCACATATTGTGAGGGACAATTTGGTATTTCACTCTGACCCTCCAGGCTCTCGGTAAATATCATATTGTCCATCATAATACAACCCATATTGAATCCCTCCCACTACATAACCTATATATATCTTGCGAAAATCTAGATCTGTCACTGGAAGGCAGCCCATCTTGAAAACAAGACACGGTGTCTTTGTAATTAGTCCGACTGATATAGCCTACCTAGAGAAAACCGCCGATACCTCAGCAACAATGTTCGAAACAGTAGGTTGGGATACCCCGAATATATCTCCATTTATCATTTGCATACAACCTGTAGCATATCGTAATGAAATGAATACTTTTAGCTGACATGAAATTGCCTGAGGATTCCTTGTTCTTGACGCTAGATCCCCATCTAATATATTAATCAACTCAAGAATGAGTGGCCTCGGCATGCGATATCTGTTTAATATCTCATCGTCAGTCATCTCTAACGGCTGACTCCTGTCTCTGAATAAGCGTAAACCTCTTCTATTGTGAACATCCTGGAATAATATGCGCCACATTTTCCAGCTTGATCGAACCCTAATATTTTAATTTTAGCAGACGATATTTGCGAAATGGAATTGCAATATTTATTATAGATTTCACAAAACCAAGGTAGCATAATCGTGCACTTTCAGACTTGATTTTGATAAGTTTTGGTTATTTGTGTCTCTAATGTTTTCAACCTATTTTTAGTTGGAGGTCTCAAAGGGCACTTCCTAGATTTCTACAACGATAATGTTAATTTAAATAGGAAAACTATCAAGATTCTTGATGATATGTTTGCGATTTATATTGCGGCAGGGTCAGGGATGCCGCAAATAAAGTGGAGTTTGCGACATAAAAATCAACTGATTTACGTGGACGCAACTGTGCGATGACTGCATAATACCAATTTGCGTGCGGTTAGCAGTATATTTGCGATGCGAAATGAAAATAGCGATGCGTCTACCGTGTAATAAGAAAACTGCGATTTGCGCTAAAGACGCAAAACGGCAATGAATTTGCGCTAGAGTGCCTTTGAGATGACCTCATAATATCGTTTTGCGTACGATTCGCTAAATATTTACGTTGCGATTGCGATTTGCGGTGCGTCGACCGGATAATGAGGCCTCTGTTCGCTACGCTCTCTTGTCTCTTGGCTAGGGAATATTGATATCATCTCGATCTTTGATAAAAATGGTATCCTCAAAATCATATGAAAGCATATTATGACATAATTACAGTGGTTAGTCCGACGCCTGAGTCCTGTAGTGATGGTTGGTTTCTTGAAAATATTGTGACTGATAAGATGGTTTGCGCAAAGAAAATAATCATGGAAGATTGTTCTGTAAGTTGCTCATTATCAATCTTACCTAGTGTCAAAATTCGTACTACGTATGCGATTTTTAGAAATAAGTTCACTAAATTAAATTGATTTTGTATTTATATGTAATAGACTATAAGTCTATGGATAAACATCCTCCAATCTGGATATTGAGATTATCTGCTCGGGAGCCGGATATTTGGATGGATATTCCAAATATTCTGATCTTCCTGTTGGAAGATCTCTACCGATATACACTAACTGATCATGAAGAATGTTCCATCTGTCTGCCATCGTGGGCTGTTCATTGACATTACTCATTCGAGTACTCTATGTCATAGTTTTGTGTGACACATAGTATGTCCCTCACATTCATGAAAACGATATTGGTCCAAACATGGTTAGAATTTAGGAGCACCTAGTCCCAAGTTTCTTAACACTAGATGTTGATAGACCAATATTTTACGATTGAACAGGTAGCTGGACGCCTCACAGGTTATCCACTAATGTGTGAGGATGAGGAAGGGAACGTCGTATCTATGACGGGGTTGAAAAGTGTTGACGGCTGTCCAACAGGTTTTGTGACAACATACGATACGTTTGATGAAAGCGATATAAACTGGATGAATGATGTTATGTCAGCCTATGGAGATGAGGAGACTCTTTGAAAATAAACTAAAGTCTAAGCTTGTATTCGCGGATGCAAATAACAGCTTTCGGCTAATAGATTAACCCACTTTTGTATGGCAAACAAAAATATATGAACTGAATAGTGGCAGGCGACTATTCATATTAAAAGGAGTTGCCCATAAAATAATAGATTAATCCGGTAGCCGACAGTCGAAAGTTGCATTTTGATATTTTCAGCTTGTTTTCATTTTAGAAGTATATGTAGAATGTAATTGTGCTTGAGATTTGAATGTAATCGCATAACATGCCTTGTTTATAACCAGGTGACACTTATCCACATATTTCAAACAATGTTAGATTAAAAGGATCAACAAAATAGATAATTGAAGTGAATAGTTTATTGCATTTTTGGGGTTTCTTTTTTTACCATGGGCTTTCAAGAGACTTTTTGAAAGCCCAACTTTTACCTAACCTGTAGACAGACAATAAAGTTATTATTTGTTAAACGAGGTTAATATTTACTAAAACAATGTCACTAATGTTATATACTAAAATATATAATAAAAATGTATAGTATATCAAATGAAACATTGGATAAATATCATATTTCAAAATTATACATGATAATGCAACTTTTAATTGGTTTGATATGTTCAATGGAAAATTACATTTTTTGGATATGTCAATTTGAAATTACTTTTTATGACAACATTACAATATTGACCAATGGATCATTTACAAAAACTTTTTCAAAGTTAGAATTTCTAAATCAAGTGTTTTGAACGTAGATATAATGATCGCAAAGTAAGAGAACACAAACTTTTATATGAGTTCCTAACTTGAGGTTTCTGTTAATAGACTCTTAATTGTTCTCAAACTATGACGTCATTATGTCCATGGTTACAACATTAACAATTTATTAATTCAACAAAGTTTCTGTTAATGGTCACTCAAAGTTCTTCAAAAAAGCTTAGCTCCACTAACAAATCCAAATCACATGTATCCAAATCACAGATGTTTGCATATCAAATTACTGTTGTACATCCAATTATTTTAAAAACTTAAACATATCCATAAAAAACTAAACAGATAGAGTTTGGTTTAAATCCTCATTATATAAAAGTATAACAACTAAAAAATCAAAAATTAATTGATGGTAACACATACAATTAACTTGTAGGGGCCCACGTCCCACGTGTTAATTGCTTATTTAACACAATATGAATTCATGTGTTACATGGTTTTTCTAATTTGGTCATTTTCCAGGGGAGAACTCCATACATTGCCACATTACACTGCATGACCCAAAAGTGAAACATTTTCGAGAACTTAGATACCCTATATAGTCCCTAAGATATCCTATAAAAATAAATAAATACTACATAGTTCTATATGAGACAAACACATATAAACATTGTACATCTAGCATATATCGGAAGATATATGTGACAAAATTTTGACTTTGGGCTGACTTTGTCGACCAGCTGAATTTATCTGAAGACTGGGTTTTTCAACAATTTGAGCGACAGTTACTTCCTTAGAGAATGATACTCGCTTGTTTTTGTTCCTGTTCTTTTTGGTAGGATTTTGTGACTGAGGACATAGACATTGTGACTGTTGCTGTAATATATGTTGCAAGTTAGTTCCTCCTACAAAACATTCCTCTGGTTTCTCAGTTATTTGAATAGTATTTTCTGGATCGCCATTTATATTGAGTTGTCCCATGTCAACTGGTGTACTAGATGCCTGAGGGGGAATTACTACACTTGTTGTCCTTTCACCCCCACAGTTTTCACATAAACTGGTCCCATCTGTGCTGTCTATGGTAATGGTAGAGTCTGAGTCTGAACAAGGGGTGGAAGGACCAGGCATTACATAGTCAGTATCTAGGGAGTTTGGCACTGTCATGGGAGATGATCCACTATCAATACCAGAGTCATCAGATCCGAGTATGTCTAGGTTATCATTGGAACTCCTGCAAATCAAATAGGTATACACATGTACTGAGGTATATATCAAAAGTTCACTGATTACTTTATTTATATGAATTTACACATATCCGATTCCATGGTGGGAATGAGGTCTTAATTTCAATAAAGAGTCAACGAAAGAAATCAAGAATTTTGTACAATTTATTTATCAACTTAAAAGCTGCTTTATCTCAGACAATATAAACCACCTCAATTGATGGAATTAAAATCATTCTACAGGAATTTTGTTGGAAGCTATTTCTGATTCAAAACAAAGTTAATGAAAATGGAGCAGATGTATTATACTCCCAAGTATTTTTTATAACATATACAAAAAAGGTATAGTCTAAATACCGAGTAGAGCATTTACTATTCCAAATTCATATGCCGCCACTTTGTTTTGTTTTTAAATATTTTTTTTGGGCTGGAGAGCTGGAGCAATAGATTTATATGGGATAATTCAGAATGACAACAATATTCTCACCTCCCGTGTTAGAGTGCTCAAATTCGGGAACAGATTTTTTAAATCCAGTTTTTTTCCCCATTAAAATACGTATACAAGGTCCGATTTTGAACACATCATTTCAGTTTTACTTGACATTCCTCTTCACATATATTCGCACAATCAACAAGGCACAGGACGTGAACGAGATCACACCATCAAATAGGCAGAGACTATGAACCAGGAAAACTGTTCTCCTATTATGTTTACAAATTTCAAGAACAAGAAAACAAGATGGCCGCCCAAAAGTTAATCACCTCTAGTACTTGATATCCTCTATCATTTGTGTAAACTTGAAGGAAATCCGATGAGCGGTTTTCCTGAAATGGCGATGACAAGATTTTTCGAAAAACCTTCAAAATGGCCACCAGAAAACAAGATGGCCGCCCAAAAGTTAATCAGCTCTAGTACTTGATATCCTCTATCATGTGTTCAAAATGGCTGCCAGAAAACAAGATGGCCGCCCAAAAGTTAATCAGCTCTAGTACTTGATATCCTCTATCATTTGTGTAAATTTGAAGGAAATCCAATGAGCGGTTTTCCTGAAATGGCGATGACAAGATTTTTCGAAAAACCTTCAAAATGGCCGCCAGAAAACAAGATGGCCACCCAAAAGTTTATCAGCTCTAGTACTTCATATGCTCTATCATCTCTGCGAATTTGGAGAAAATCTGATGAGCAGTTTTCCTTAAACGGCGATGACAAAAAGCGGGACGATCACGATCACGACCACGACCACGATCACGACCACGACCACGACCACGACCAGTATGACGACTATATCCCACCGATGGTGTGATAATAAAAATATAGGTCCTTATGACAATCTGCAAAGCGTTTTCACAAATATTTTTTGAAACTGACGATAATCATGAAATGTTCTACCATGACATCACTGACTTAGTTCCCGAAAGCTGAGACAGGATGACTCGATATGAAACAAGAAGCAAGTTCTTGTGTTTATAATGTGGGCTTGATTTCATGTTTATATATGTTTAACTTAAATCAATATACTATATGCGAATAGAAATAATCTTGATTTACGTCATTAAATATTCAAAATTCAGTCAAAGTGATGTCATATTTGAAATCTATATGTAAAAGTACATCTAGAAAAATGGTTTCGAAAATTGTTTATCAACTTTGAAAATTTAATTTTTTTGAAAATGTGATTTCTAGCTCAGGTTGATTCCTCATAGACCCCATGTTACAAAATCACAAAAAGTGAAATATCTTTTCTTGTATTGGACAGATAACATTTTCTTTTACTGGACATATCTTAATTTGCATAACTATTAGATACATAAGGGTTATATAAAAATTGATCCACTAAAACAGATGTAATTTAAGTTAAAGGGAACTTTCTACCATACCCGCCATGCTATCTGACCCGAACGAGCCACCTGGTGGCGAAACTTGTGACTACCTACTCGCATCTGCGTTATTGTCAAGGTTGTAACTTGATTAGTATGACCTTTATCATCCCGAAAATATGCAAAAACATGGTTTTAAGGTTTGGAGAATTTGGTTTAATCAACAGACCAACGGAAATTTGTTCCACTTGAAGTGATGCAGGAGGTATTTATGTTAATGATCATGTTTTCATCTAACACAAATCAAGTCTATTAATCTGCTCTGGTTAATAACCAATAAATATTTTATGAACTGAAGAACATCTGCGCAGGTTTTCAATTCAATAACTTTGTATTGGATCAAACTGGCTTCCGATATAAATTAATTGTGTTACGTTCCCACCATGTAAAATACTTTTGTATATGTAATAATACTTCTTTGGAGTCATAAATGTTTATGTTTATCAAAGTTAAATCAGATTGTGAAACGTGTTTGTATTTTCCCTGACTGCCACGTGCCACATTTTTAGGTAGGACTTACCCAGGCTGTGAGGAACTATATTTGAGTATTTCTCCTTCAACACCATTTCCCTTATGTCCTTCTACGACAGCGGTGATGTCGCTAGGGGACAGGCAGGTCTGCAGGAACAAGTGTACGTAGCTGTCGGAAAGATACTGGGTCACCTCTACAACCCTATAGCAAACAAAACACTCATCAGACATTGAGTATAATTATAATGGGTATTTTTAGCTAAAAAATGAATAATTGTTATTTACATCAGTAAACTACTATGCTGAAATGTAGTATGTATAAAGTGAACACCTACGGAGTCACAAAAAGTGTTCACTGTAGGTAGCTGTTCACTACAGAGGGGATTTTATACAGGAGTCAATGTTTGTTGAAGTGGTGTCCATGAAACACAGGTGTTCACAAGAGAGAGGTGTTCACTAAGATTATGTAAAACTCACTTATCTAGAAACTGTTTTAGGCCTGGTATTCTTGAAGAGACCACCTGCTCACTGAATCTGTTGAACCAAACACTTTTAGGAAGGTTTGGAACAGTCCTGGAAATAATAAAACAGAGCCTTACAAGTCAAATGCAGATTATGACATAACCCCATCATGTAGATAATATTCTAAAATAAAGAGCAGCAGTAGGTACAAGCTATAGACAAAACAACTGTAGATTTTGACATAACTTTATACAGACTTGCCAACCTCCCGTTTTTTTACGGGAATCTCCCGTAAATTTTTTGTTTTTCCGTAAAAAATACCAAACTCCCGTACCGTTTTCTCCCGTAAAAACTCCCGTACTGTATTTCTACTAAACTCCCGTACTGTATTTCTACTAAAATATCCCGTAATTTTTTTGAAAAATATGGCCGTAAAATCTCCCGTATTTTTGCTGAAATCTCCCGTAAAATCTCCCGTATTCTGGTATAACTCCCGTAAAATCTCCCATATTCTTGGTATAACTCCCGTAAAATCTCCCGTTTTCTGGTATAACTCCTGTAATATCTCCTGTATTCTTGGTATAACTCCCGTAAAATCTCCGTTTTTTGCTGTCGAAATCTACCGAATTTGACAAATTTGTGACCTTGATTATTGCAGGCACGCTTCTTCATTGTCTTTCTTTTACTCCAAGAAGGATTGGCTCCCATGGTTCACTATCGATACTTTCATAAATAACTTAAAAGTACTTCATTCCCTTGATTCAAATTGCTTCTCTGCTATCAGTTCGGTATAAGTTTGCACACCAAATGTCCAAAAACGGGGCCAGTTCATATTCTGTTGTACTTCTGTCAGGAGAATACATTTTGTTTTTATATGGCGCTAAACAAAATATTCCCGCAATATAAGGCGCATTATGGGTAGGGACTGCTGTGAAATAATGAACTAGGTGACATCTATCTTAGATTATAAGTTCTAATTAATTTATTAACTGCGCATGCGTCATAATAATTTCAACCAATCATAAACCTACCGTAAGAACTCCCGTTTTTTTCCGAAATCTACCGTAAAAACTCCTGTTCTTTCAAAATCGACCATAAAAACTCCCGTTTTTTCAAAATCTAAAGTAAAAACTCCTGTTTTTTCAGAAATCTACCGTAAAAAACTCCTATTTTTTCAAAATCGACCATAAAAACTCCAGTTTTTTCAGAAATCTACCGTAAAAACTCCATTTTTTTTTAAAAATCTACCGCAAAAACTCCTGTTTTTTCAAAACCTACCGTAAAAAACTCCAGTTTTTCAGAACCTACCGCAAAAACTCCCATTTTTTTCTGAAATCTTCCGTAAAAAAGTCACATTTTTTTAAAATTTACCGCGAAAAATACCTTTTTTAAAAAATCTCCCGTAAAAACTCCTGTTTTTTTCAAAATCTCCCATAAAAACTCCATTTTTTTTTCAAAATTTACCGCAAAAACTCCAGTTTTTTTAAATCTCCCGTAAAAACTACTGCTTTTTTCAAAAATCTCCCGTAAAAACTCCCGCTTTTTTCAAAAAACTCCCGCAAAAACTACCGGATTTTGAAAAAAACTCCCGGAAAAGTACCTCAATTTTTTTTAAATCTCCCGAAAATTTCTCATTTTAGGTTGGAAAGTCTGTTATACAAAGTGGCTGTAGGCTATGATTTGATGAAAAACAAAGAAACTTTTGATAAATATAAAATAGGGCCAAAATATCAATGTCAAAACCAATTACACTTTGAGGAGGAAAGTGATTCATATTCAAGATTCAATTTCAGTGTTATTCAGTTTTGTACAGAAAGGGGCATAAATATTTTTGACAGATTTTTGAAACAACGTAGAAAGACAAACCAATTTAAATATATGGTACGTTCATTCTGTATAAACTGAACAAGACTAAAGTAGATCACACTTTGTTTACAAAAAATTGCCATCTACATGGAGTTCAACATCATTTATCTAATGATGCCAAAGTGGTTTGCTCAACTCATATTGTTTAAAAATGAGAGGTGAATGAGAAGTTTGTCAGCCTCACAAGAATGTCACAACAACATGTGATAAATGAGCTTTGAGATGAGACTTAATATTAGCTCTATGATCTATGAGAGTTTATCTATTAAGAACAATTGTTTTACCTCAAGTGCACTTAAGTGCTTGTTTAGTACCAATTTAACAGACAACTATCATGTGATTACCACAAGATGGGAATGCCATCATTAGACCTACACATGATAATATTGAACTTGCATCCATGACTTTTTACACGTTTTTAGGTCTCCACCTATTTACAAATCATGCGATAATATTTTTCATTTTGAATTCGATTTTGATTTTTGCCATTTTAACAATAAAAGCTAAGATTTTTAGATCATCACATTTTTTACTTTTTTGAATAATTGTTAAACATATTATTTTTTAGCACCACTGAACATACTGAATAAATGTTACAATAGTACATGTATAACCATTCGATTTCATTTTCATTACACAGCTTCAATTTTATAGCAATTAGCTGTTTTCTTATGGCATGATGCCATGACATACATGACATAAGGATGGTGGTTTTGTATTCAGAAAAAACCAAATCATTTTCACAACAATTTTTTCTGTGTATGCTTAAGATTCTAAAATGACTCTTGTACATGTGATTATATCACCAAAGTATGCATTGCATTTTATTATGAATGGGCTGGATTTCATTTCTACTTTTTAAATCATGGCAAGTGCATCTGATGAGTTCATATCATGAGGTAAACATTAAAAGGTGGATTGGATCGAGTGGATTGGATTCATGTAAAAGGTGGATTGGATCGGGATTCTTCAAAATATGGATTTTCCTTAAAAAAATTATATTGATCTCCCATCAGACGATTAATGCTCTTCTCACTTCCACAATGTCAAATAATAGATGATATCATTTTGCTTGGGTAGACTAGAAAGGTGACCTGATACACAATCTTATTCATTCCAAGGGTAATTTTAGACATTTCACAAATCATAAGGCAGACTTTTCAAGTCGAAGATCCATATCATCTGTTTTAAATTCAAACAGAACATGGCAGAATGTCTTGGGAACACCCACACATCAATTTGAATGACAGCTTTTATCTACCGATCTATGTTTATTATGTCTTACTAATGTTGATTTACAAGGGAGAGCAGTTAAATGCTTTAGAGTATCTATCAACTAATTGAAGGCTGTATTTGTCATTGCTTTGTCAATTCCTTAAAGGGACCCAAGTATTACCACAAAATACTTTAGGCCGGAGGAAATTGCTTAGAGGGAGATCAGCTAAAAAATCCATATTTTGAAGATTCCCAATCCAATCCACCTTTTACATGAATCCAATCCACTCGATCCAATCCACCTTTTAATCTCTACCTATCATGAAGGTCGAGTACATACTTTTCGATCAAACTGTACTTGAATGATAAACGAGCAATGACCAGCATAAATGACTAGGAACATACACGTACATGTATGTACTATTATTAATAAGGGAGATATGAAGCTGACTGGTACAAAGTCTAAGTTAAAAACAATAATGACATATGGTACTAATAATTTTGAGAATTTATCCAAATTCTAGTTTTACTACATTTGGAAGCTGTTTACTACAAATAGTTGGAAATCATCCAAATATCGTAAAATCCTAACATTCAAGTATTGTAGTAAAATAACTTTTGCTCATATATTTTAGTGAATTATAAATAAACATGTAGATCAAACACACAAATACTTTTAAGGCTGCGTTAAAGGACAAGAAGTGAAATATTGCACTTGAAAGAAGAGGTCCAAAGTATAAAAATGAATGTTATTAAGTCTTTTTAATGTCACCAAGTACAGATAAGAATTGTTATTTTAGTAAAACTTCAATATGATTTAAAATTCACATGCATTTTTATCATTGTAACTCTATTGTTATTAGTGGTGAACAAATATAAAACACAATGTGATACTATTTAAGATTCTGTAAGGAATTCTATGTCTTATTGTATAACTAGTTTAGATTAAGAAGTAGGTAAATATTTGCCTTTCACTGTCAGCACATGTTTCAACATGCATTGATTGTATGTGTTCCAAATGCACATGATTTAACATACATGCACATTCCATAAGGGGTAAGGCAGCAGGCTAACTTTAACAATCATTATTTCCGACTAATGCCTCAGTCACATTTGATCTACAGCCACTGTATGGCAGCAATAACTTCTCAAAATCGAACAAAAAGCAATACAATGTAGATTTTTCATATCGATTTTGTGAAGCTACGCCCATGAGTTATTATGGTACATTGAAATTAGAAGGTCATGTTAACATAATGAAATGCTGTACCACATGGAACATTGAAATATTGTCAGTCCATACAATAGACAATCAAGCCAATGTTTTTGCATACCTTATAGGTGGCATGAAATGATCATAAATTATCCAAATCTCTGAAGGACAACAAAACATTTAAACTCTATCAGACAACGCTAGTATTTTTGCATTTTAATGCTGATTATCTGATTTTAAGTACACACCACATTAAAGTGCTGGACATGTATATGAGAAAACAACTTACACATCAAAGTGTTGGTCATATAGATGTTTTCTGAGCCAAACAAAGTCAGAGTACCTCCGCCTCACTATAGATTCCCCAACTGAGAATGCTCTGTTGCGTGTCTTAAAAGAAAAGAAAAATCTCATCACTATATGTGAAGGAATGTAATTTGCTCTGTTATAATGTTACCAAGTATGTCTTGAAACAAGAACATGTCATGAAATGCATTTTGAAAACAAAACAATAAGCTACGAAATCTGACTTGAATTATTTTTCTCACTAAAGGATATCAAGTTATGAGTAATGAGTCCAAGGATTTTAGTTTGGATATCTAGGATATCCTAGGTTATACATATTGAGCCAGGCCAAAGGAAAAGGGGTCTTATCACAGATTTTATCAATGTTTTGATTTTTTGTTTTTCATAAAAAGCGCAAAGAGACCTTTCAAATGAGTCATGGCTTGTGTCTTAACAATTTTTCCTTGCAGGTATAGTCCAAAAAGACTGATTTGAATTTAGCACATTTTCCTCTATCTTGGGCACATTTTTGGCTCTGTAGCACAACTTAAATTTTTGTGATAAGACCGGTTTTCCTATGGCGAGGCTCATATACTGAACGGTTCCATAGTTTTAACAATTTAATCATTACTGTCAATACATTGAATATGATATGAACTTATTTGCACAACTGTTAAGTTCCACCCGATGTGTGAAACCAAACATCCTTCTTGAAGGAGTTTCTGGGCACTAGGAAACCAATTAAAGGTAAACTACTAAACTTGCATCAATTCATTGTATTGAGATATCTGTTTGAAGTCTAACCTTTATATGAATCTCATATGTTGTAAATTTTCCCTGGTCCCAGGTGTTGTGTGTTATAGGATTTCTTACTATTACTGTAATGTCATCTTCTGCCATTCTGGGCTTCATTGTGTCCCATTCCTATGAAATATGGTAGCATAAAGGTCAAATTGACATAAGTCTGGTCAATATTAAAACATATAAAATCAAAACTGGCATTTTATTGAAATTGGTGAAATTTCATGCGCTGCCCTGCTGATGAAGGGCTATGAAGTACCATTATGTTATCCCGAGTTTAACTAATAACTCTGTGACTTAATTGGACAATGACATACACTTTGTATGTCATCTTAGATTACTCACTTTGAGAGCCATGTTAGATTTTGAAACTTATGGCTCTCAAACGGAGAAGTGAACAGCTGATCAATAGTGACCTTTGAAATTGAATTAAGTCGATCCGCGGCTTACTTTTGGTCTCTCACTGTGTCTTACATCAGTATCATCAATCAGTGTAAGTATTGGAGCGCTGGAGTACTTCTTTTTCGATCAAGACTTGTAAATTGTTCATCGAGTTAAAGTTTTACAGACCTATTTCCAATATGGCGGTTTGCTAGGTGCGAGATACGCAACGAACGAAATGAATTTTGAGAATTAGTTAGGTTCGGACAACCTCCGGAGATTTACGAAAATGTCCGAGCAGAAACCGCCATATTGGAATTTGGCAGTAAAACGATTCCCTCGACTAACAATTACAAGTCTTGATCGAAAAAGAAGTACTCCAGCGCTCCAATACTTACACGGATTGATGATACTGATGTAAGACACAGTTAGAGACCAAAAGTAAGCCGCGGATCGACTTAATTCGATTTCAAAGGTCACGATCATTGAGCTGTCCAAATGCTCCGTGGGAAAGCTATTATATCAAAATCCAAATAGCTTTCGCAGGAAGTAAATCTTAGAGACATCAAATTTTTATACCAGGCCCATTTTCCAGAAAACATTTTTTAAGATTTGTTTCTAATGGTACAAATATGGCTCTTATAAGCTCAGAATCTTCCAGAGAGGGTTTCGATTTAATTCTGAGAGGTCAGACCCCCCTTGCTTGTGGCACTCCATGCCAGCGACGCTTTATGTGGACTCCGGAACGTGGACACACATTCTGCTTACCTAGTGTGTCGGCGACACAACTCATCTTAAATTTGTACTCAAAAGTAGTTCCTCCGAGGCACCCCTGCCAATGAACCCCTGCTCGTGAACAAAAGTTGGAATATGAATCGAAACAAGTGGGTTCTACTTCAAGTATCTAATATAGTAGATCTAAGCTATCTATGTGAGATTGCATGAACTCAACTATATGTAGATAAGGTAAGCTTACAGGCTAGACGAAATCTAACTTCTAAGGTTGAATTAGGCTATTTGAGAGATTTTTTGAAAAAAGAGATCCTCCTCTAAAAGCTCAGTCTGCCTACTGCATTGATCAACTACTTGAACTATTCGTTTACTTACGTGTATAGAAAATGAACTTCCGATTAAGCCTAATACCATGTTGCAGCTCTCTCATTTAGAACGTAGATTTCAATAATGAAAATAAAATTTGCAACAAATGGTTTTGTTGACATTTTGAAATCATATGATGAAATTGTATCACGTGACAAATTATAGCGCCATCTATAGTAAAACAAGCAGAGATTAATTGATTGATTGCGCTGCCATCTTTAATTGAAAATTATTTCTACTGGTCTTTACTGCTTTTATTTTGCCAAGTAATGGAAAATCCCGGTGGGATGTTCTCCATGCTTAAGGGTGCGACCCTTTTACACCCCCAAGGGAATGTTTTTCCTTTTTTCATTGACTCATACACTTTGAAAGTACCCAGAAAGCACCAAATGCTGTATTTTCTAGGGGGAGTGGTCCCGGAGTGGTCCACCCCTCACACCCCAACAAAACAATTGAAAAGTTCTGAAAATTATTTTTTGTATTGTCTCACACTTTTAAAGTGCAGAGACATCATCATATAGCTCCTTGATATAACCTACAGGTAGTCATGATATAGTCAATGTTTCTGAGGGACTAACACTTGCTCCCCCTCCAGGGGCGGATCCAGGAACCAACAAGGGGGGGGGGGGCTAAATTTCAGGTCAGAGAAAAAACGTCCGCGCTTGCGCGGAAAAAAATTTTGGGCCCCTAAAATCCAAAAGTGGGCCCAAATTTTGAAATTTTGAGGCCCATTTTCTTCAAAATTTGGCCTGAAATTAACAAATAAGGCCTTAAAAGGCCCAGTAATGACCAAAAAGGCCCACTTTTTGGGGCCTGAAGGCCTTGTTTGGCCCAAAAATTTTTTTGGGCCCAATTTTTTTTTTCTGGGCCCACCCAAGGAGGGGGGGGCCCGGGCCCCTGGCCCCCCCCCCCCTAATCCGCCAGTGCCCTCTGGCAACCTCGACCCACCTCCAACTTTGGCACCTTGCCCGTAGCTAGCTGTTACCAGGAGGGGGAGAAAAATTCTCAGAATGGTGAAAAACTGCATGATTTTGAAAGAATTTCTGGCCAGGGGGGGGGGGGCAGAAGCTCCCCCAGATTCCCCTCTGGCTACGGGCCTGGGCAACCCCGCCCTCCTTTAAATTTCTAGGGAAGTAATCAGGCCCGTAGCCAGAGGGGGAGCTGGGGGAGCGGAAGCTCCCCCCCCCTGGCCAGAAATTCTTTCAAAATCATGCAGTTTTTCACCATTCTGAGAATTTTTCGCAATTAATTTCGCAATTAAAATTAGCAAAAATTGTGAAAAAGCCCCCCCCCCTGGAAAAAAGCTCCCCCCTTGGTAAAAGCTGGCTACGGGCAAGGTAATGTAGGCCACCACTCACATCCCCCACAAAACAATTTAAATATTCTGAATTTATTTCATGTATTGCCTCGTGCCCAGACTTCATCAAATAGCACCTTGACATGGTCAATGTTTACAGAGGGACAAACACTTGCTCGCCCTCTGGCATCCTCATCCCACCTCCCCCTCTGCCCCCATTGGCACCCCCCCTTTTTTAATTGGCTCATACATTTTGAAAGTGCCCAGAAAGCACAAAATATAAATAGCATCTTAAAATTGTTAAATTTTCTAGGGAAGTAGGCCACCCCGCACATCCCCCACAAAACGATTGACAAAAATTCTAAATTTATTTCATGTATTATCTCAGACACTTCATCAAATAGCACCTTGATATGGTCAATGATTATTGAGGGACAAACACTCGCTGACACTGATACCCCGACTCCACCTCCCCCTCTGGCACACCCCTTTGACACCCCCCCCCCCAAAATAGTATTAAAAAAATTATGATTCTTTCAAAAAAAAAATTATTGACTCATGCACTTTAAAAAATGCCCAGAAAGCACCAAATATCATCTTAAAATTGTAAAATTTTCTAGGAGATTGGGCCACCCCTCTCATCCCCTCACAAAACAATTGAAGTCTGGATTTCATGTTTTGTCTGACACTTTTAAAGTGACCGGACATCATCAAATAGCGCCTTGATATGGTCAATGTTTCTGGGGACAACCCTTTGCTCCCCCTCTGGCACAACACCCCACCCCGTCCCCAACCTCTCATCCTCTTTGACACCCCCTCCAAAAAACAAAAAATATTGGCTCATACACTTTGAAAGTGCCCAGAGAGCACCGATAGCATCTCAAAAGTGTAAAATTGTTTAAGGGTAGTGGAAAAACAATTGAAAAGTTTGGAAATTACATTTGTTAATCTAAACACTTTAAGTCACCAGAAAACACTAAGTGACATAATGAAATCATAAAAGTTTCTGGTACTCCACCCCGAAAACTAAAGCATTCATTTACTCAAACACACCAAGTACTCAGAATTAACCGGACAGCATTTTGAATTAGTAAAATTTTTCGAAGCTGCCCCCTCGCTCCCCTAAGAAGGAATCTAAAAAATTCTAATTTTCTTTTAATCGGTTCTATTGATAAAAGTGTCCAGAAATAATTGACTGTGATCTTGAACTAGTAAAAGTTCTTGGGTAAACATTTATGCCCTTCTGGCACACCCTCCCCCTATTCCAATGTTTCTCCAAATCCCTCTTACAATATATAGTCTAAATTGTCTATATTGGCAAAGATAACAATTTTATATTCTCTTTACTAAAAACCGCACCCCCTTCGGGAGAAAAGTGTCTTACGGGCCTACGTGGGTAAACCGATATGGCGCCACAGGGAGCACCGGTGGATCCAGAAGCTGACAAGGGGGATGGGGGCTCCTAAATCGAAATATTTGGATGGGTGGGTGACTTAAGCCCCATGGCTTTTTAGCCGAATTATATGCAGGCCTAACAGGCCCTAAAGTTTAGGGCCTAAACCCAGATGCGAGTAGGCAGTTTTACCACCAGGTAACTAATTCTGGCCAGATGACATGGCAGGGTATTATTTTTTAAAATTTAATTTAAAATAGACAAATTCAAAGAAGAAGAAATCTGAATGAAAATCTAAATTCTAAAAAGAAAATTTGCGTCCATTCGTGGATTTCAATTAGTTTTGATTTGTTATATCATGTCTATATATTGTATATATCATGGAATCGATGGAATCCAGAAGAGTACTACAATTCAAGCACTCCTTGGGTTAATGACGTCAACGAGCACTGCAATGTAATTATTTGGATTAGATATTGACTAAACACAATTAAGATGTGGGTGCTGGATAGAATTTCAGATACGATGAATTAATAAATGTCAATAAAATAATAAAGTCAAGTTAGAACACCAGTGTTCCTTTTCACCATCTTATTAATGCTTGCTAAATTGCTACTGTTTTATCATATTAAACTGTAAACAATATGCAAAAAGCATCTATTTTTTGTAGGAATATGAACTTATGATAATTCAAGCTCAACAAGTCAACATTAAGATATTTGTAGACCCAATTGACCCCACATCCTTCGAAAGACACTGAGAAAATGGGCTATACAAGTTGTTATACATAGTTTAATAGTACTCCTTGAGAAGTGGATAACAATATCCCCGGTGTCCTCTAAAGGTATGATTTCGGGAATTAAGATAATTTGTAAAAGGAGACCAAGTTGTAAGCATATCTGGAAGGTAAGTGTGTCTTATGCCATTCTGTTTAAAAATAAAATAAAACAATATAAAACAAAATCTCACAGAGTTCGACGCTGATATTTTTTTGACTACCTATCTCAAAAAGATGATCAGATGGAATACAGCTCGAGCTATGAGAACAAACCAATGATGAGTTTTCTCTGTTTCACAAGACAAACGAAGATCATGCCAGTTGAAGTAATTGGGCAAATAATATGTGGATTCTCATTCTATTGATTCATTTACACAGGTTCGTTAGTTTCTCACTGATTGCCAGAGGCTTTCCTTTAATTCTAATAAACCTCTGACACATTGATGGCATGACTGATTGAGACAAGGATAAGACAAATCACTGAAAAGAACATTTCTAGCAAAAACTTGTGGCCAAGAGCATTTATAGATAGGTGAGTAACAAAAAATTGAATTAGATTAGAAATTTTAAGTGGCAATGTTCAGCGTAAGCAAAGTATAAATTGAAATGTACATGTCTTGAAATATGCCAGTGCTACCATTGGAATAATATTTGCATACACTTTTTAGTGAAAACATCACCAAGCTCGGTAAAATACGCTTTGAATGTTTGAACTTCTAATTTAAGGATTTTAAACGTCTAATATAACGATTTGTTCATCTCAAGCTGAATGCGCAGAAACCGACCAAATCGGACCTCAATTAACTTAGAGTGTAATCCCTTTGACCATACTGGCACCACTGAAACATTTGGGAAAGATCCGATTGGTGAACGGCTAGCACTCATAGCTTTTAAATGCATGTGTATAGCTTAACTATAGCCTAATGATGGACCGGCTTTTTCAGATCAAGATGTCACTCGGCCTCCTCACCTCATACATGAGGGTGCTAAAGAATCTTAAGGGAACTGAATACTATGATGCAGTCATTAACAACATCATGGCAAAAGAAGGAGACGATTTCGAACATATCCACAAGCGAAAAAGTCGATTCCAACTTGCTCGGATAAGCGCAGTTGTGTGTGGGATTGAGTTTTGCTATGCCGCAGAGACAGCCTTTGTTAGCCCAATACTACTATCAATCGGGGTGCCAGTGTTATACATGACGCTGGTTTGGTGCTGCAGTCCCCTCCTTGGATTTTTCCTTGCACCGTTGCTTGGTTCCCTTAGCGATAGATGTTCATTTAGATTAGGTAGACGAAGGCCGTTCATACTGTTACTATCACTTGGAATCGTTCTCGGACTTATTTTAGTTCCCAATGGAAAAGATATTGCTGAAAGTTTTGGAGATTCATATAATAATTCGAGGCTGAATGTATCAAACAGCAATGGGAACACTTCCATACAATTGCAAAGTCTTAAAGATAACACAACATTTGATCATGAACTCGTTGAAAAAGAACAATTTTATATAAAGCCCCATGTGCTCAGTATCATCATCACAACCATTGGTGTAGTTCTGTTAGACTTCAGCTGTGACGCTTGTCAATCGCCTAGCCGGGCCTATATGCTGGATGTTACAGTACCAGAAGATCACTCCGCGGGCCTAACCACATTCACCATCATGGCCGGACTAGGGGGCTCGCTCGGGTACCTTCTTGGTGGCATTGATTGGTCGAAAATCATGTCTACTAATTCTTTCATCGGTGGCCACGTACGGTTTGTGTTTACCTTTGTTCTTGTCATGTATATAGTTTGTCTTCTTGTAACAATATCAAGCTATAAAGAGGTGCCTTTGAACAAAATCAGTGGCATTGCAGAACAACTTCAGAAGAAAAACAAAAGCAAAAAAGGGGGAACGTATCATAAGTTTACAAACGAAGAATCTCCTGAGAAAGAGTCAAATAGCTTAGTTTCGAATGGAGGGCAAGGAGAAATGTTTGAGATGACTGAAACTAGAAATACTTTATATAAAACGTTCGATATGAAATCAAATGGGGAACTTAACAGTAACTATGAGGCTAATCATGTCACTAATGCAACGGTGGAGGAAACATGTGAATCCCGACAAAGCTTCTCCAAGTCGGAGCCAGTTATCTTGCCAACGGAGGTATCACTAAAAACATATTTGAAGTCTATAATACAGATGCCAAAATCAATAGGAGTTCTATGCCTAACTAACTTATTTTGTTGGATGTCTCTTGTATGTTACTCTTTGTATTTCACCGACTTTGTTGGCCAGAGTGTCTACGGAGGTCATCCTTCTGCTCCACTGGGATCAGAGATGCGACGTAAATACGAAGAGGGGGTACGGATGGGTTCATTCGGGATGTCTTTATATTCACTATCGTGCTCCATATACTCTCTTTGCATAGAAACCCTGGTTAGAAAATTCAGTAAGTAGAACATACGGTGATATTGCTTTTATCTTGAAAATATTTCCTCGGTAAAATACAAGACAATTAGTCGGAATCAACACTTAGTTGTAATGAAAAGGAATCAGCTTATTTTAATCCTCTGAATTTTCCCATTTATCAAATACCAATATAGCATTGGTCATGTTTCTATTTTGATTTCGAATGGGAATTAATAAGCCTATTGCTTTAGATGTAATAATGTAGAAACAATAACGGGCCCTAATCATTTTACGATGCCTGAAAAGCAGATGTTTCATGTCGACAGTAAAATAATCTAAAAATGCTGTGAACAGAAAATCATTGAAAAAGTCGGGGTAATGACATTCACTTCCTTCAAATCAATGAGGTTTCCGAGGGATTAGATCCCGGAGTAAAATCTTATTGAAGGCTTGTTTCCGTCCCCGATACTTGATCCGATAAGTCTTAATTTTAGAGATCTGTCGAAATTACTTTACGTAATCTGTTTGTATTTTGGTGTTATTCAAATTGTTTATCGATGTTTGCTGCATTAATTATTTAAACAATCATTAAATTCTACATTGTGCGCATGTGTAAATTTGATGAGGGGGAGTAAGATTAGACTATTTCAGTTACCTAACCCTAATGTAGACAATGTTTTTCATTAGTTTACGAACGTGCACGACAGTCAGATACCACCCCTCGCCAGTTGAAGAATCATCCATGGTAGAAAGCTAAAAATAGCTTAAAGGTCACGTGCAAAGTTTGAAAATATAGTTTGATTAATCAAACATTAGTTTTTATGACTTTTTGAAAATGAGACATTTTTGAAAATATGACTTTTGATTAAAAAGTTGTTCATCTTATAATTTTCAAATATTTCTCGCCATTTTAGAAACAACAATTTAGACTTCAAAACAATTCTAACATACATATTCAACCTTGTTTAAAAATCCTTTAAGGCCCCGTGTAAAGTTTGAAAATATAGTTTAATTATTCCAACATTAGTTTTCATGACTTGAGACATTTTTCGAAAAATATGACTTTTGAAAAAAAGTTGTTCATCTTATTTCAAATATTTGAATTCCTCGCCATTTTAGAAACAACATTCTTGATTTTAAAGCAATCTTAAGATATTTTCAAAAGTAAAAGCCAAATTCTGCTACTTCAAATTTTGCGTTTTTTTTGTCCGAAAATGATAAATCACCATAACTACTTAATCAATTTCATGTCATTAAGGTATCGTATGCTACGTATATCATTACTTTTCAGAGGCTAAGCCAGTTTATATACTTAGTCAGTTGGTTTACACGGTTGGAATGGTCATTATGGCCACTGTTCGTCATCCAGTTGTTGTTGTTCTTCTCTCGCCGACTGCAGGGGTGATGTACGCCACCCTCTTCACGATGCCATACATCATCCTAGCGCACTACCACTCCAATGATACGGTGAGTAGTATGCAGTTATTTCAGGCCCGTAGCCAGATCTTGTAATGGGTGGGTCCAATGAACACAGGGGGATAGGTTAAGTTTGTCAATTTTGGCTCTAAATCACTAGTTGAAAAGTATTAAAAACGATGAAAACTGCATGATTTTGAAACAAGTTTAGGTCAGAGAAGCCCCAGAGCCCCCTGGGGTCGTTCCCATAAATGTCGTTTCCAGAAATGTCATAGATTCAATTGTGTTTTCACGATTTTGAAAAAATCCCGTTTCCAGAAATTTGTCGTTAACCTCCTTCGACAAACTACAAACTACATGACGTTTGAAAAAAACTTGTATGATGCAATGTTGACATGCGCGTAGTTTGTCAGTGTTACAAACTGCGTGAATAGTATGCACGCGGTTTGAATGGCGCGGCGTGAATTTGGCCTACGTTTCTGAATACTTGTCCATATTCGAAAGATTCTCAAATACTTATAACACCCGAGAGGTTGATTCTCCAGGGGTGAAAGGAATATTGAAATAGACTTGAACTTGAATGGCAAAACATGATATTTGCGGTATTCAATTCTTGTGGCCATTGAGTGTACAAACGTTTAATTTTTAAATTATTTATTGTTCCATTGGTGTCATTCAATGTGAACCCAGTGAATACATAAGTTTTCACAATAAAAAGGGAATATGAGCATCTATAGAAAGAAATGAAAAAACGATCAATTGATTTACATCCATATAACCTCTATCTAACGGAGCTTTTCTGATAAAATGAATACATTAACTCTATTTATTTTGTAGGAAAGCATAAATTACATTTTAAAGATGTGCTAAGGGAATTCTAGCCCTTACTAAAAGTGCAAATTAAATAAGTGAAAATGAGTGCGCATAAAAAACAATCCAATGCTCTAATATAAAATGGCTCTTTCAAAATATGTTCAATTATACACTGTTTTGTCAATGTATGAAAATCAAACGGTAGATTCCAAAAAATGAATTTCAAAATACAAAAACGGTAAAAAACTTGCGTATACTTTTGAAAGTTAATGCTCTTTATTAAAATGCATAGGTCTAAAAAAATCTTCACAAAAGTTAATTTAGCATCTCTCACTGGGGGGTATCGTGATGCAACAACACCGTGTTGTTGCATCAAGATGGCCAGACTTCCGCTGATAGATTTTCGTACGATATTTTGTTTTCCCAATTTAAACCCATTTCTAGGACGAGTTGCTCAATAATCATACACATGCAGTTAGCTCATGATCTATATTTAAAAAAACTCTCATTAGTATGCATGTACCATCATCAAGAAGCGAGAAATTCGCGGTTTTAATTCCTCACTATTGATGCAACAACACCAAACCGAAGATGCAACAACACTCCTCTAGATTTGAGCAATGATGCAACATCACCAATTAATAGTATTATTTCAGAAGACCATATATCTCGGGAGGAACAGATTTTTAAATGCTACTATTGCAACACCGGGCCAGTACCCATTTGCGTTCTTCTCAGGCATTCAAAATACACGTCCTGTGGGCAAAGATTCTTTATATGTATTTTCAAAAATTTATACTTATAAATATCATAATGTACTGGAAGTTGTTTTATAACATAGTTCAATCACCTTTAACATTGCAAGCTATAGTAACCCATCTATTTTCATAAACCCCTGTTCCATAGCTTGATGACCCTGATACCAATTAGTATCATTCAAAATAGTGGACAAACATCTTTCGTTCTCGGTAAACACGACGAACTTTTGGAAATTTTGCACGGCGCACATGTAGAAGTATTGTTCTCTTTGGATTCGTTCTCCACGATTGAGTAAAAAGGTAGGTAATAGGATTTAGGTTCCGAAAAGGTAAATTGATAGGGGTACAGTAATCCCAGATTCCCCCTGGGCCCTCGGGAAATATCATAATGTCTCCCGGAATAAAACCAATATTGAATCCCTCTCAGTAAATAACCTCTATATAATAGCATTGTATAACTGCAATATCATTAAACCAACACTCATCGGAAGTTATGGCGTTTTGAAAACTCAAAATCGCTAAAGGTGCCCCATGTAAAGTCAATGGGAATTTTTTCTTTGAAGTGTAAAATACGACATATATACGACCGAGTACAGCTTAATTTAATGAAAGCCTTTAAATGAAGGGTACCTCAAAAGCAATCTAGCTTCAAAATTTGGACACAAAAATGTCTAGGTCAAAATCTAGGTCAAATTCAAAGTTTTCCTTATTTTTGTGATTCTGACACTACACTTCAATTATATTCTTCGATATTGTGTATACTTGTAGCCAAGAATGTACTAATAGTGTTAGCCTTTTGCCGTCAGAAAGTATTTTAACCCACTTTTGTCCAAAAAGTAGATCAAAATAAAAAAATTCTCCAAATTTAACGTTTGAGTTATGAATAAAGAATATAATTTTCTCAGGAATCAGAATCTGCAAACCAAATTTCGATCCGACTTCCGGTTCGGAAGTTATGGCGTTTTGAAATTTCGATAAAAATCGATCTGATGGTATCCTGATAGAAAGTCAAGAGTAGCAAAGAAAATGTTGAAAAATCCATCCATCCTTCAATCCATCCTTCCTATCCTATCATACTATTCTATCCTATCGTTCCTTCTTATTCTATCCTATCCTTCCTATCCCATACCTTTTATCCCTATCCGTTCCTTCCTATCTATCCTTCCCATCCTTTCCTTCCTATCTTATCCTTCCTTGCTTTGCTTTGCTATCCTATCTTTCTTCTCTATTCTCTCCTATCGGTACATCCTATTCTGTCCTATCCCTCCTTTCTATTTCATCCATCCATCCATCTTTTTCTGGATGACTCGGCTTAAAAAAGTCTAGATCTGGAGTCTGAAATTGAACTTGTTCAATTTCCAAAGTCTAGTTATATTAGTACTTTGTAAAGAATTTCCATACTATACGGTAAATCAAGGGGATTTAATTTAGAAAATGAATAATCTTTATTTTTCAGATACAATATCAATGAGGTTGGCTCCCGGGGATTCAATACTTAGCCTATGTATTTAGTTTACCTTGTATATCCTTTTAACTTTGATAAAGACAAATACATTAAGGAACCAAACAAAATACGTTTCATTCATGAACCACGCACTCACGCGTTTTATTCATTTCCCGACCAACACCTATAAACAGAACATAAAACAGTTTCTCTAGATATTCAATGATACATTATATTGGCGTTTTTGCATCAGCACATCGGTGTTGTTGCATCATCGATAATAAACAGAGTGGTGTTGTTGCATCAATAGTGAGGAATTAAAACCGCGAATTTCTCGCTTCTTGATGATGGTACATGCATACTAATGAGAGTTTTTTTAAATATAGATCATGAGCTAACTGCATGTGTATGATTATTGAGCAACTCGTCCTAGAAATGGGTTTAAATTGGGAAAACAAAATATCGTACGAAAATCTATCAGCGGAAGTCTGGCCATCTTGATGCAACAACACGGTGTTGTTGCATCACGATACCCCCCAGTCTCCAATTCACATTGATTTTATATAGGCCTGGGGTGGTATTTTTTGGCCTCTGTTCAGGTATCAGGTATCACTGCTCAGTATCAAGAGAAGGTAACGGTCGTAACCGTCGCATCTAAGATGGCGGACTGTTACGCTATTGGCGATTTCGATATTTTTAGTTTTCATCGAAGTAAACTACTTTATAATTGACGTTATGCTTTGACTTATATGACATGAGAACTCTGGAGTATGATAATTTGTTCATATATCATGCGTGGGCGCCACAGTTCAACGATATCTTCTACCGCATAAGGAAATGTATGATACGTTAAACGGTCATGTTTTCAATACACGGTAACTGGGCATCTTAGCTCTCCATTATAGACTCTCATAACGTTACCGCATCACCGCACCACCGCATATCTGTTATCGTATCATCTGTAAAACCAAAATCCCAGTTACCTTCCCTAAAGCGGTGGAAGATATCATTGAACTGTATTGCCTATGCATGGCATATGAACAAATTATCCTACACTTAGTGTACTAAATGTATAATAACTTAAAAAATAAATTTGATATCTATTGGCAAAATAAATAACCGGAGGATATCGCCACGATAAACTCCGGCAAACCAATATGCGGAGGATATCGTGGCGCGTCGTGAGTGTCATGATGCAATAATTATTATATTCTTCAAAAATATTTGCTATATAATATTCCACTATTGAGTAGCTTACTGTAAGTTCATAAGGTGATCACAATTCAAACACTCCTCTATTCCAAAGTGTTTATTCGAATGAAATACCTATTGTCAAACCGAGTCAATACTTGAAGAATTGCATGTTTCAGAATTTCATGTTGATTTTTTAAAAGATCCCTAGAATACTATTTAACGATCGGCACCAATATTGCAAAAACCGCGGCCCTGAGATATGTTGAAAGTCGATAAAATATCATCCATTCAATCAAAGAGGACAGATATGAATTCATAATAATATTTATTTTAAATTATGAAAATGATTTTGAAAAATTCAATATTAAACAAGTTGATCAATTGACCAGGACCAGGTATGGTATATCACATGGTTTAAGACAATTCAATGACTTACATGTACTCCTGGAAAAAATCATGGATTGCCATGCCATGCCACACCATTCCGTGCCGTACCGTACCATGCCGTACCGTACCGTACCATATCATTCCATGCTTCAATACATGTTTCAAAATACTAGCAGTATAACACAGGAACATTTGAACCAGTATTTAAAGAGTTGCATATGTCTTGATATTTTTTTAGAAAACAAGTTGCTGAAAAAACTTCACTCAAGATTTATTCACCGTTGGGATCTTTTGTTTTAAAACAGAATCCTCGGTGTTATAAAGTCTTAAACACCGCTTTTCTATTGTTTTTAAAGAATTGACACTTGGCAAGCTATCCAAAACCAATGTGGCACAAAATACGACTGACTTAAAATTGGATCATGGGCCATTTACCTTTCATAACTGTGTCACTGTTGGGTTTAAGTTAAAAAAAGCCATTCGTACTGGGTTTTACGAGAACTAATAGCCTCGAGCCAATGCCCTCGGCTATTCTTGTAATGCCTGGGTCACAAATGCTGCGATTCATCGGCCGGCGCCCGGCCGATTGAGTATTTTGTTCAAAATTGAATACATTTTTGAACAGAATACTCAATCGGCCGGGCGCCGGCCGATGAATCGCAGCATTTGTGACCCAGGCATAAGCCCAGTACAGTTTATACATATAACTGAAAGTTTACTTTCGATTTGTTGCAATTTCTACTCGCTTTATTACAATGTATTATGTGCTTGCACACTTTGTATTTTAGTTTGACGACATCGTATCTAAAGAACATAGGATAAAGCAGGTACGGGGACTGGGGACCGACATCGCTCTGCTAAGCAGTATGGTGTTTGTTGCCCAGCTAATCCTTTCTGCAATGATGGGGAGTATAGTTCACTATATTGGAAGTACAGTCGCAGTGATAGTGGCTGCATCCGTTCTCAGTTTTTGCGGGGCTGTCAGTTCCACACAAGTCATGTATCTAGACTTATAATTCTTTAAAAGCATATGCTGAGACACATCTACGTTCTACGTGTATCCATTTGAGATCTATAGATATTGCTTCATTGGATCTCAGGTTTACCATATAATGAAAAAAAAAACTCAACGTGTACAAGAAGCATATCACGGGGGGATCCAGAAATTAACAAGGGGGGGGGGGGGGGGGGCAAATTGGGCCCAAATTTTGAAAATATAAGGCCCATATATTGATTATTTGTCCTTCAGAGGCGTTAAAAGGCCAAATTGTGTCCAAAAAGGCCCATTTTTGAGGCCCTACGAAATTTTTGGGCCCCATAATCCCCCCCTGGATCCGCCAGTGCATATTTAATCCAATATGAAAGGAATTTAAATTACAAACTTATGGAGATGGTGTTGGAATAACTAGACCTTTGTCATATACGTCATATGTAATTAATCGATAATGGAATAATATACTAAAATAAAATTTTGTTCTGTCATAGCATTAGTTGCGAAATGAACGAGTAATCTAAATTGTTTTATCAAATCTTCTCAATTTGAAAATCCCGGGACAATTTTATCTAAAATTCCAGGTTTTACGGGCAATAGAGGAGTTTCTAAATAGCTTTGAAATCTCGTTAATTCTCCTTTTTTTCATGAGTTTTTAAGAGATTTGAAGACTTTTTACCTCTCATGACTTACTTCTCTTTATTTTTGATAGCCTATTTGAACTCAGTGACAAATTTTCTCCAATAATAGCTTTATACACGGTGTTTATATTTACACAGTTATGTCGTTTAAATTATTTTCCATGACTTTTTAAAAAAAACTTGGGCCAAATCTCCATTGGTACAATGCTAAAATTCATTAAAACCTTGGCTTATTTGTATGACAACCAACAATTTTCATGTTAATCACAATATGTACATTGACAGGGTCATCCAATAGTATGTCATACGAGTTTAAGACAGATTCAACCAACACTTTTTGATAAATCATGAAATTAAGTTACTATTGCAAGTTTTTAGCATTGAAATGACCCCAAAAAATCAACTTGAGACAAACAAGGGCGACATCTATTATGTCAGCGTTATTCAGCTATTTAGAAACTATCCAATTCTGTAATTAAGTCCGACTGACTTTTAGCGTCTGTTTAGGTTATATTTTCGAATTAAACATTATATCCAAAGTCTCACACACAACAGAATGTTTCATTGTAGAAGATGTTTTTTATGAATAACCTCACTACATCAGACAACAGTTGAAAATGGAAATCAACGCAACTAAAGAGTGTAGCCATGGTGATAGCCCTAACCACGGACTTGAAGACGGATCACCCGGTACACTGCATGCTGAAACAAAATAAATAAAATAAATAAACATTGTCGACATAGAAAACTGGAAGTTTTAAACAGTATCATTTTCCATTTTCATAATCGTTGAAAATGACAAGGCATGGGAGTAACTGACACTTTGTGAATCAATACGACATTTTGGGACCTGAAAACCTTTAATTTGCCAATCTACCCTTAGTAAATTATAAGATTCCCATTTCGCCTCGGTTACAATCTTACTTCTAGTCTCAAGAGACTTTGCTATACATCTTAGGTTTTTGCAGATAAATAGATGGTAACGTGTTTTTCACATGTTATTCTCTCTTTTTATAAACAGGTCTAGCTAAAACCTTTTTCTTGCGTTAAACTCACGTGTGCCTTGAAAGTTTGATCTAAATTCATCAAGACCGGCGTGGCATATCTTCCTGTTAATGATGTCATATACGCGTGTTTCATCAACAGATCTCAAGTTGTTGGTCCTACTCAAGACATGTACGATTGGATCGGGGAGACACGTCCCGTTTGCGTATAATATGTTCTCCCACGTACATGTTACGATTAAGGCATAGTTGTAGAAGTCAGTTTCTACCACATAGAACTCTCGGTCCTCTAAAAATTTGCCAACAACAAGTAACTAGATCAGAAAGTCATAGGCAGCAACATTCGAAAAGAAATACGTACCCAGCATACAATTTATTTGAATGAAGAAAGTGCATGTAGCAACATTAGATAGACTAAGCTACACGTTTTTTAGAGAATTTGTCCCGGAACCTCTAGGAATTATTACCATCGTAATATTTACTTACCCAATCGAGTATGAACAAATAAGGAAAAACATCTTGAAAAAATTGAGAATGAGACAATTATCCATTAGAGTCGCAAATCAGCTCTTGTAAATTTCGCCTAGACCGGTTATATAGTGCAGTTAATTTTTCGTCCAAATCAGAAGTAAATTTTGACGTTAAATTAAGATAAACTTGCCGCTCATCCCCGTCACCATGAAAACCACACACAGTTTTTACTTTTTTAATCGTTCATCTAAAAAAATTGGAATGGTGGTACTTGCGCAATTCTTTAAAATTCTGAGGACTTTTCAAGTTAATGTGAACACCCCTGGAATATTTCGAAAAGTGAACCCCCTTGGGAAAGCTTGCTAAGGGCCCGTAGACTTACCTGATTCGCCACTGGATGTATTTGTGGTTCTTATGGCAAGTCTAGCCGGATGGCTTCCGGTACTCGAAACCAATTGCATCTTTAGCCCCGATTCAGGCCATGATTCACAATCAGAACTATATAAGAGAATATATAATACAATGATCAGAATGTGTTTACAGCCAAGACATCTTACACCCCTTGTCCTTTGAAAGTGAAAGTGAAATAAGTGAAACAATGTGCACACATAGTAAAAGACAAATCATGTAAAGCCATTCAAAGCCATTCATTACATGTTAAACTTTCTGTTGAGATCTGTTGCTCAGTTGAATGGAGAAAACAAACTCTTTTTTATTGTATTTATAGTAATTAATATTTAAACTGAAAAAATGGAATACTTGAAAACAAGTACAAATCGGAGCATTTTCAAAAATATGTTTAGTTTCCCGAAAATTGCCTAAATCTTAAAATCGGAGCATTTTCAAAAATATGTTTAGTTTTCCGAAAATTGCCTAAATCTTAAGACGTTAGATATATTGAACTTTGAATGACCTAATGCTTACCCACCTATTTTTCGGTGTACCTGTTTCCAATACGTCAGCAACACCAGACGATCGCTTAGTGTATTGAATTGAAAAGTTATCCAACAACCAATCATCATCGATACCAATGTGAAACCACGCCTTCACTTCGAACCATCTACCCATGAACTAAGGAATGAATACTAGTATATAAGACATATTTTGGAAAATGTTGTGCCATCGTCCTTCTGGCCTTCGTCAAGATTTAGTATTTTGTTTAGTTAGGTGTTCTCTTACGTTGAATGTAACCGATTGTGTACGTACGATTTTAAAAGACAGAGCTGGTGTTTCTTACACTTACCTCATCGAAATTAAAGTTGCTTTGGAGATCTAAACTTGTCATATTTAAGACACATTTTTCTGCGGTGACAGTTGTTAATATTCCAAGGAATATTACATATAAAATATGCTGTATCTGATATTTCTGCATGTCAACTGTAATGTAGTTACAAATTTGTCAACTTACTTGAACTCGCTTTTCAAAGTACTACTACTGTAAATAAAAAAACTCAAGAAACGCCAAACACTGAAAAACAACTTCTCAAAAATCTATTTACTTAGCTGTCTGATTATAATATACAGTGAAACCTGAATATCCGAACACCTTGTTTGACTCTTGTGTGGGGGAGGGGGTGTTAATTAGAGACCACTTCTTTTCACATTAGATCATGGTTTTCAGAAATATAGGGATACATATTTTTTCTTATGGCAGGTTTAAAATTAGAGTTTGCTTTTCTTGCTGGGTTTCTTTTAGGTTTTTAATCTCTTCCCTTTGACTCTTGTGCTTCGATATCTCTAATTCGAACATCTCTAAATTCGAAAGTTTTTCTATTTTTTATATCTCATTGACTCACATGCTTAATAAAAACCTTAAAATGTGAACACCTGCTAATCCGAACACATTTGGCTGATCCAAGTGGTGTTCGGACTAGACAGGATCTACTGTACCTTTTTTAATTGAACGAACAGTTAAAGCTCCCATATTCAATAGATTTTTAGACGAAGTAAAAATGTTCTGAAAAATAACATTATAAAAATAACATTAAATGAAATTGAATCAATCGAATACTTTCTTTGCCATTGCGAGTTGTATGTTGAAGAAAGGTTAGCACTAAACGAAATCTATAAATATAACGATACAATTAGTGTTAAAGATCGCATCAATCTGATCTTAAATTGTACAAACGACGATCTTGCATTGCAAGCTGTCGTAATAGTTCATTCAATGTATATCAAGAGACAAGCAACGCTCACAACTTCGCTCATTTCATAAACTTGAGCAAATGATTTATCTATTTTGGTAAAATATGCTTTAATTCTCTGTTATTTGGATCTGTATTGTGAGCGTATAAGCAGGATAATTTAATAGGTTTCTAAAGGTCAACCGGGTTAAATGCAAAATTTCATTTTAAAATAACAGTTTGTTGTATTGAAGATGTGTCTTCAATCATATGATATGTTTTCACTATCAATTAAAAGCTAGTTGACAATCACTTTGTTAATTTCTAAGAATTTCAAATTTTGAAATATGGTCCATCTGATCACATTGCTGTCCAAATATGGGACATAAAAGTAGAAACCAAAGCCATTGACAAGCACAACCAAGACGATAACGTTGACGCATCGCCCACGGGCCCTCCACAGGCTGAAAATAAACATTGTCAGTTGTAAAGGTAGGATATATTAATATAAAAATGAATTTTGGAAGACAAGAGCGTTATTTTGCGCATCAATCATTTTAGTCGCCAAGGTATTTTTGAACTTACGCCGAGAGTGGAAGTTAGGTCTGAATTCCTGAAGATCCGCGTGGCATATTGTTTTGTTAATGATATCATCCAGGTATCTTGCATGACCGGGTTGCAATACGGTCGTCCTACTCAGTACGTGTACGATTGGATCAAGAAGGCATGTCCCATTGGCGTATAACGTTCCTCCATGAGAACATCCTACAGTCAAGGCATAATTGTCGTAATCTGTCACTAATACATACATCGGTATGTTACCTACGAATATATAATGAATTAGTCCTTTTTAAAAGAAATTTAGAATAATGTATTACTTGCAAAAACAGGCAAATAGTTCATTCTTTCCACTTATCATCACAACATCATTCCCTTTGAGTTAAGATTGCAATCAAACCATTTTGCTCGATTTAGATGAATTTATGCTATCTTACTTGGAAGGCTACTACACTTTACGATGGTGAACCATCAATACTTCCAAAAGTTATTTTATCATGATATTAGGGATATAAAGTCAGCACGTGTCTGCTTTCGCGGCAAAACTGATTTCAGTTTCAGAGCAGAAATTTTACGTCGCGTGACATGACGTGCTTGGTTGTAATAATTTGCCGCGAAATACGATTTTGTAAATAAAAATGAAAGCGATATGATTGGGGATTCAAGTACATAAAACGAATTCTAAAATACTCAGAAATTTATTGAGGTTGTTTTTTAGTGTGGATTTTCTCCCATGCGGTAATCATACAGGTAACAAAATTCGAGGCAGGGCACAGATCTATCTCGAAGCGCCTGCGAAGATTCCCTGAGACACCGACACCAGCCTGCACAACCTCCATTTGGTTAGCAGTCCTTACCAGCTAAAAGCCAACGCTCCTTTGGCATAATATAAACACTACATGTACAGTACCTATCGATATCGATAAAGTAAGATCAAAAGTGCTCTGACTATATTAAACGTAAATTAATGGGTCATTTTCTCACAAAATGTTGATCTAATAATTACACCTACACATGTACCCAGAGGAGCAAAAAAGAAAAACAATTTTGTGATGTTTTCTTTTGTCGTACCAAAGGCCATCAAAAAGAACGTCCTTGGCCATTTAAAGAGGAAGAACACTTTTCATGCACCCCTCTTTCAAATGAACGCCCTCTGGCCTATTGATTACGTCGGTACTAAATTGAAAAACATTCTTAGACTTACCAGCAGAATTATATCCCAAGGTGAGTCTAGCTGGATGAAGTTGACCACCTGCAAACAACTTACGCCCTTTCATATATATGTCGCAGTCATCGCTAAAAAGAAATATTTTGGTCAATCGATATCCGATTCGAGGGAATCAGGTAAAAAAAAAACTATTATACCATTTCTTCAAAAATTTTCATTTTGAATCTTTCAAAATTTCTCTCTCGTTCAACAGAGGATTTTCTCTTGACCATGGTATAAGCTCGTTATTCACCCGTCGGGATGATATTGTTAATATCCCTAGGATGATATCAATATTTCCCGACATGTGAGGGAGTGTGCTAAATTCTGTGGCTATGTGGGAATAGAACCCAGACCCTCTTCGATATTTTTAAAATTCTCGAGTATAAAGTATAAAGGTTATATGCTGCAGAATGTATCTCGATATTTTCGATAATTTCAAGTCTAAATATTTCTTAAATCGATAAGCCCCAACTCCGACCCTGCCTCAACCCTATATTAACCCTGAGCCCAAACCTTACCCCTCACTCTGAATTTTACATTATAAGCCCTAATACCCAACCTTAAAATCCCCAGCCATAACCATAACCCTAACCCCAATACCCTGCAAACCCTTACTTAAGCTTTTAACCCTAACCTTTACCCTAAATCCTTAGCCCTAACCCCTAACCCGACCCTATGCCCTTAACTCAAACGCTAACTTTAACCATAAGCCCCAACCCTAACGCTAACCCTATGCACTAAACCTAACCCCTAACCCTAACTTTAACCCCAACCCCTAATCCGAATTCTAACCTCCCCAAACCCTAGCTTTGACCATGAGCTCCAGCCCTAATCCCTAACCTTAAACCCCCAACCTTAATTTTAAATCCTCAGCCCTAACCATAACTTTAACCCCCCTAAGCACTAAACTCAACCCTCACCCCAGCTTAAGATAGCTCTATAACATTTTCCAAGCTACCCTATACCCAAAATCTTGAACCAACGGTACCCATTTTGCCAAGTTTGGATGATTTGAAAATAAACTGAACATTGTGACGGTAGATGTTATCAAAAATATCGAAAGAATCGAAAGAATCGAAACATATTTTTTCGATTAAACTAATGAAATCGAAAATTTCGAAACCTAAAATGTATTTTTTCGATTAAACAAATTAATCGAGAATATAGAAAAATCGAAATTGCCAAGATCCTGGATAAGTATGCATCCTGACCACAGCAATTTTGATTCGCAATATCCGAAAAATAAGAAGAAATGGGTGCACAACAACTTAATTGGAGACTCAAATTGATACCAGGTACCTATTTTTGACTCTTCCTGTTTCAAATGCATCAGCTACACCAGGTGATTTCTTGGTGTACACCTTAAAGTAATCATTCCACGCATCATCATCATTGAATCCTTCGTTACGGTGGAACCACGCCTTCACTTCGAACCATTTACCCATAAACTAATAAAATCATATAAGAGACAAAGATGTGAGCTTCAGCAGATGATTTCCACCATAGAGACAGATATATCGTATCATATATCATCATTATTCTATATGTTAAAATTATACAATGTTACGTACCTTAATATATCCTAATACACCCCGTATAATATATAGTCATGTTCATTCCCTTTTCGTGTTGTTTTACTTACCTTATCGAAATCAAAGTTGGCTTGGAGGTCTAAACTTGTCATATTTAAGACACATTTTTCTGCAGTGACAGTTGTTAAGAAGAAGAATATAACATATATCACTCGCTGCATCCTTGCTGCATCCATGTCGTCAGAGTGATTACATACAACTGTTTACTTTCAGACCAAATATATACAGGGTGGTCCAAAAAGTGGAACATTTTCTTTTGCAATATAAGATTTATACAAGCTGCATCCATTTGCGCCGACCACGTAGCCATTTTAGCGACAAGTTATGGTTTCAATTGCCATTTCTAATCAAGGAATTTCCCTACCCTAGGAGCAATAAATCTGGTCAAATATTAGCGACCCCCGGGTCCTTCCACCATTTGAAATCTATTTTTAAACATCAGATTTTCTTGTTAGTAGAATGATGCTCGTAAATGTTGAGGGATATATACACGTGCAGTACTTTGTTTATGTCAATATTTTAATTAGAGACACCATATATGGTCATACGATTCTTCGCGGAAACATACTACAATTAATTTATAAATGAAATGTTTGCTTACTATTTACATATAACCAATAGAGAAACAGCTTTTTAAATGACGCAATAACCCGCGAAATTAAAAGAACATGGTTTTACTCTTGGTTTGTATCTGTTCAACAAAAGTGGAGAACATACTTGTATGAATGATCATTTTTTTGTCGAATGGGCGGGGGGATTGTTGCGTTTGGTGGGTACAAATCGGGAACAAATCCACATCATAGTAATTTTCGAAAGGTCTCTTGTAATTTATGCAATGACGTATTTTAAGATATTGGCTTTTTACTTTAATAGGTTACCTCCCTCCGTTTTATTCAGCTATATCAAAGCGATATTAATCAAATTAAAATTCCTTCGAACGTAACTTTTTTCAAAAAATAATTTCAAATTAAATTAATCACCTATATTAAATCAATTAAATTATGACGTGCTCATGAATATAAGTTGAACGCGGAAGTGAATTTTTCCGAAGGGAGGACGAAAACAAGCTTGACAAACTAATAATTACTGCTCGATGTGCTCAGTATTCTAGAATTCCTCTCTCCAGCGGTTATTCTCGGCGATTCCACCCCTGAAACTTTTCCCGACATGTAGATGAGTTATTTTCTTCTGTTCCCGATATGAGCAATCATAAATAAGTTCACTGAATATACCGATCATTTGCAAATTCCGAGAATCCTAAGTGT